AATTTAAGATACCTGCATATAGTCCTTGGAAAGAACTTGTTTTTGGACCAGTGAAATCAATTTGAACCAAAATAGATTTAATAAGCAGCCAAATGGAAGGCCGTCTGATAGAATATCGGCCAATAGGCGGTGGCCTCGACTACCATCACAACTCGCCGCTAATCGGCGAGATTCCGCCCGCTGGTGGAGATTATTCCCACGCGGTGCACCGGTCCATAGACCACCTGCGAAACAGCCTCAACGAACGGGTGGCCTTGGGACCACTGAGTGTCTTCTCAAACACGGCCGACTTAAGGAACTCCGTTCTCAGCTACAGCCAACAACCCCACCAGCAGTCGCACCCACCGCAGCAGCAGCAACAGCAGCAACATCAGCAGCAGCAGCAGCACCAGTATCAACTGGTACCGGAGCCCAAGCCGAGTATCACCAACCTGGAGAGCAGTGTGGCCTCGTCGGCGGTCAGTGGATCGGTTGCCAGCAGCCAAAAGCACGTGAATGATGCGGTGGTCAGTAGCAGCAGTGGGAGCAGCACCACCGCGGGAACCGCACCCACAGGTTCCACCAGGGGCCGCAAGTCGCGCATCTACCCCAATCCCAACCAGCACATCATAGTGACCAGCAACAGCGTAGACAACGGCGGCATCCGAATGCAGAATGCGACGCTGAACGAAAGGAATCCCCAGAATCCCTCCACGGCAACGGTTGGTGTGGGTGGCGTGACCACGGCAGCGGGATCGGGGAATGGCATCTCCTCCTCCACCAGTTCGCCGCATCACATAACCCAGTTGGACGTAAAGGAAACCAAGGTGATCGGGGACTCTTGGACAAAGTTCATAAACATTTGTTATTTGCTTCGGGGGTCAAACAAAGATTTTGGTTCACTAATAGGGTTTAGAAATACAAAGAAGCTCTTAGTGATCTAATTTCTTATCTGAGTTATCATAACTGCTAAACAAGCATTACACGTATAAGTTTACGGCATAACAGTAGAATAAACTAAAACAAGAAAGGAAAGCTAACTTCGGGCGGAGCCGAAGTTAATATACCCTTGCAGAATACTCTGTAAATTATATTCTCCAAAATTATTCATATGATGCATTTTTAATACTCATAAAAAATCCCAACTTCCTAACTTAAAAAACACCAAAGTTATGGCATTTCCAATCGTTCAGTTATATGGCAGCTATAGGATATAGTCCGCCGATCCTTATGAAATTTGGTAGGTCGGATTGATTGGCCAAATATAAAACCCATAGCAAATCCCAACGTCCTAACTTAACAAACACCAAAGTTATGGCATTTCCGATCAAACAGTTATATGGCAGCCATAGGATATAGGTGGACGATCCTTATGAAATTTGGTAGGTCGGATTGATTGGCCAAATATTAAACCCATATAAAATCCCAACTTCCTAACTTTAAAAACACCAAAGTTATGGCTTTTCCGATCGTTCAGTTATATGGCAGCTATATGATATAGTCGCCCGATCCGGCTCGTTCCGACTTATATACTACCTGCAATAGAAAGACAACTTTTGGGAAAGTTTCAAGCAGATAGCTTTAAAACTGAGGGACTAGTTTGCGTAGAAACGGACGTACAGACGGACAGACGGACGGACAGACGGACGGACAGACGGACGGACAGACGGACATGGCTAGATCGACTCTCCTGGTGATGCTGATCAAGAATATATATACTTTATAGGGTCGGAAATGTCTCCTTCACTGCGTTGCAAACTTTTGACTGAAATTATAATACCCTCTGCAAGGGTATAAAAAAAGGTTTAAGGCATTGTCCCATGGCTTCAAAGAATAGTACTTACACGTACTGTTTCCTTTACTAAAATATTTTATAGTCATATAAGTGCCAGAGACTTCGTTCCACTTGGTACTGACGTTTAACGATAGCTATCTTTGGTTGGGGGCTTTGACAAAAGTTTTAAAAAGTTTTCATTATAGTATTCTTTAAAGAAGATGTTAATTGCATTATTGTATTCTATGTATTAGCCAGTTGTTCATAAACTTGTAATTCTTTTAACATCTAGAAAGTTAATACTTGCGAATAACCAAATTTTAATAAGCAACGCTTTATCATTGAAAATATTATTTTAAACAAGAAAGGAAAGCTAACTTCGGGCGGAGCCGAAGTTGATATACCCTTGCAGAATATTTTATAAATTATATTGTCCAAAATTATTCATATGATGTATTCTTAATAATCATAAAATGTCCCAACTTCCTAACTTTAAAAACACCAAAGTTATGTCATTTCCAATCGTTCAGTTATATGGCAGCTATAAGATATAGTCGGCAGATCCTTATGAAATTTGGTAGGTCGGATTGATTAGCCAAAAATAAAACCCATAGAAAATCCCAACTTCCTAACTTTAAAAACACCAAAGTTATGGCTTTTCCGATCAATCAGTTATATGGCGGCTATAGGATATAGTCGTCCGATCCTTATGAAATTTGGTAGGTCGGATTGATTAGCCAAAAATAAAACCCATAGAAAATCCCAACTTCCTAACTTTAAAAACACCAAAGTTATGGCTTTTCCGATCGTTCAGTTATATGGCAGCTATATGATATAGTGGCCCGATCCGGCTCGTTCCGACTTATATACTACCTGCAATAGAAATACAACTTTTGGGAAAGTTTCAAGCAGATAGCTTTAAAACTGAGGGACTAGTTTGCGTAGAAACGGACGGACAGACGGACAGACGGACAGACGGACAGACGGACGGACAGACGGACGGACAGACGGACAGACGGACATGGCTAGATCGACTCTCCTGGTGATGCTGATCAAGAATATATATACTTTATAGGGTCGGAAATGTCTCCTTCACTGCGTTGCAAACTTTTGACTGAAATTATAATACCCTCTGCAAGGGTATAAAAATGTGGTCCCGATATTTTTTAAAAAATTCACAAAAAAACAAGAAAGGAAAGCTAACTTCGGGCGGAGCCGAAGTTGAAATACCCTTGCAGAATATTCTGCAAATTATGTTCTCCAAAATAATTCATATGATGCATTCTTAATACTCATAAAAAATCCCAACTTCCTAACTTTAAAAACACCAAAGTTATGGCATTTCCGATCAATCAGTTATATGGCAGCTATAAGATATAGTCGTCCGATCCTTATGAAATTTGGTAAGTCGAATTAATTGGCCAAATATATAACCCATAGAAAATCCCAACTTCCTAACTTAACAAACACCAAAGTTATGGCATTTCCGATCAATCAGTTATATAGCAGCTATAGGATATAGTCGGCCGATCCTTATGAAATTTGGTACGTCGGATTGATTGGCCAAATATAATACCCATAGAGAGTCCCAACTTCCTAACTTAACAAACAGCAGAGTTATGGCATTTCCGATCAATCAGTTATATGGCAGCTATAGGATATAGTCGGCCGATCCCGGCCGTTCCGACTTATATACTGCGTGCAAAGGAAAGAAGGGTGTGTGCAAAGTTTCAATTCGATATCTTCAAAACTGAGAGACTAGTTCGCGTAGAAACAGACAGACGGACAGACAGACGGACAGACGGACAGACGGACAGACGGACAGACGGACAGACGGACATGGCTATATCAACTCAGGAGGTGATCCTGATCAAGAATATATATACTTTATAGGGTCGGAGATGTCTCCTTCACTGCGTTGCACACTTTTGACCAAAATTATAATACCCTCTGCAAGGGTATAATTAAGTGGATTGGGATGACTTTTAAAATTAGTATTTAAGTCGGGCATGCGATGGTGGGGCTATTTGAATAAATATTTTATTATACCCTTGCAGAGGGTATTATAATTTCAGTCAAAAGTTTGCAACGCAGTGAAGGAGACATTTCCGACCCTATAAAGTATATATATTCTTGATCAGGATCACCTCCTGAGTTGATATAGCCATGTCCGTCTGTCCGTCTGTCCGTCTGTCCGTCTGTCCGTCTGTCCGTCTGTCTGTCCGTCTGTCTGTTTCTACGCGAACTAGTCTCTCAGTTTTGAAGATATCGAATTGAAACTTTGCACACACCCTTCTTTCCTTTGCACGCAGTATATAAGTCGGAACGGCCGGGATCGGCCGACTATATCCTATAGCTGCCATATAACTGAACGATCGGAAATGCCATAACTTTGGTGTTTGTAAAGTTAGGAAGATGGGATTTTCTATGGGTTTTGTATTTGGCTAATCAATCCGACATGCCGAATTTCATAAGGATCGGCCGACTATATCCTATAGCTTCCATATAACTGATTGATCGGAAATGCCATAACTTTGGTGTTTGTTAAGTTAGAATGTTGGGATTTTCTATGGGTTTTATATTTGGCTAATCAATCCGACATGCCGAATTTCATAAGGATCGGCCGACTATATCCTATAGCTGCCATATAACTGATTGATCGGAAATGCCATAACTTTGGTGTTTGTAAAGTTAGAATGTTGGGATTTTCTATGGGTTTTATATTTGGCTAATCAATCCGACATGCCGAATTTCATAAGGATCGGCCGATTATATCCTATAGCTGACATATAACTGAACGATTGGAAATGTCATAACTTTGGTGTTTTTAAAGTTAGGAAGTTGGGATTTTTTATGAGTATTAAGAATGCATCATATGAATAATTTTGGAGAATATAATTTACAGAGTATTCTGCAAGGGTATATCAACTTCGGCTCCGCCCGAAGTTAGCTTTCCTTTCTTGTTTATCAATCAAATTCTGTGCTTTTTCAGTTTAAAATATTAATTTATTTATTACCAAAAAGTACACAAGGGGTTGGTTGTAGGCCACCGACTATAAAATGTGAAATTGATTTAAGATAACTATTATAAAGTGTAAAAGTTACTCTTCTACCTTTCCGCACATAATAAAACACGAAATTTTTAGAATTGAAGAGCTCCTAAAGCTTCTTATAAACAGTTCCACCAGCAGCGAGGCAGTAATTCGTTCTTTACTCCAGTCCTAAACATCCGATTTGCCGTTCACAGATCTTCAGCTCGAAGGCGGATCTGCAGCTGCACACGCAGATCCACATGCGGGAGGCGAAGCCGTACAAGTGCACCCAGTGCTCGAAGGCCTTCGCCAACTCGTCGTATCTGTCGCAGCACACGCGGATCCACCTGGGCATCAAACCGTACCGCTGCGAGATCTGCCAGCGGAAGTTCACGCAGCTCTCGCACCTGCAGCAGCACATCCGGACGCACACGGGCGACAAGCCGTACAAGTGCAGGCATCCCGGCTGCCAAAAGGCCTTCTCGCAGCTCTCCAACCTGCAGTCGCACTCGCGATGCCACCAGACGGACAAGCCGTTTAAGTGCAACTCCTGCTATAAGTGCTTCTCGGACGAGCCCTCGCTGCTGGAGCACATCCCGAAGCACAAGGAGTCGAAGCACCTGAAGACGCACATCTGCCAGTACTGCGGCAAGTCCTACACCCAGGAGACCTACCTGACGAAGCACATGCAGAAGCACGCGGAGCGGACGGACAAGCGGCCGCCGATCGCGCCGGGCAGTGCGGCGGCCATTGCGGCGGCGGCCGCCGCGGCTGCTGCCGGCGGAGCGGGCAACCCCGCCAACGGACCGCCGTCCAACAACCCCAATCCCCCCCAGCACCAGCGCAACAGCCTGGGCCTGCCCCCCGTCTCGATCGCTCCCAGCGACAATGGGTACTGGCCAAAGGTAAGTCCGGACTCGGCCGCCGCAGCCAATGCCATGGAGGTGATGCACCAGCAACAGCAGCAGCAACAGCAGCAGCAGCAACAGCAGCAACAACAGCAGCAGCAGCAGGCGCACCACCACCATCCGCAGCACGGAGTTCCGCCGCAGCAACATGTCCCGCCCCAGCAGCAGCAGCAGCAGCAACACCACCACCCGCAACAGCAACCACCCCCTCAGCACAGCATGGAGGCCCACTACGCACAGCCGACGGCGCCAAATGGCGCCCAGAGCAACGGACACGGACCGGAGTTGCAGCCCCACCATCGCATGCCCGACCCCGTGCGGGAGGATATAGGTATGTGATCACCATTGTACCTCCTTTTTGTATGCAGATTCCGCATTAATATAATCCACCTTTATAATATCTTTTGGCTCAAAACGTTTTCGAAGAGCTTTAGTGAGTTTTCTTGCAGCAGGATTATATCCAAAGTTGATATATGTTTGAAATGTGTATATTTAGGTGGCACCCTTGCACATAACATTCGGCAGCTTCGATATTCATAAAGTTTAACGATCTATAGCAACTAGTTACATTGCAGTGAATTCTAAAACATAGCCCCAAAACCATTATTAACCTGATTTTTCAAATAAAATTGCTATACTGATAAACGTAAATTAACAATATTACAAATGAACTGTTCCCAAGTTGTCGAAGCAACAGTTTTTGTTAAAAAACAAAGATGGGTTTTCCAGAAAAAATAAACTTCAAATGTTTGGATACATAAACATAACTAAAATATCAACAATGTTGCTATGTTTTTATTTAAATTGTTAATTTGAAGTTTCACATTCAATGATTTTATCTATAGAATGCAAACAATTTTGCATTTATTGACTTAGTTTTATTAGTTGTAAGCGGCTGTAGAACTTTCGTTCTACAGGGAAAACAAAATGAGACCCCGAAACTTCGGTTAAATAATTTTGATAAACACCAACTGCTAAGACCGAGAGTGGAACGTTATTGTAGGACATTTTCATATATTTTTTCAATGAGTAGGTTAGATCATTTGTTTTGAAATTACTCTGACAGCGTAGTATTAAATTTATGTTTTAATATTCATTTTTTTTGAGCTTTGAAATTTGTATAGTTGCGGTAATAAAAATAGTAACATTTTCAAACTGTTATATTATTGCGAATACCAACTTAAGCCATTTGGAAACTTTTCTCCTTCACCAAACATGTAGGTGTTTTATAACTATAATTACAGTCCAATCAAAACAAATCGTATGTTCTTAAAAGTACTCGTTCCGATAAATGGATTTTAGAAGATTTCTAAAGGCAGTGGACCGATCAGTATGAAGTTAAATGTTAGGTTACCCGAAAAAAGAAATTATATCAGGCTAGAAACTTGACAGCAGGACTCTTTTTCGACGTTTCTCTAACTTCCCGTTCCATTTTCTTCAACAGTTTCGACGCCCAGTGCCGTGGGCCCCTATGATGCCGCATCCATAACGAAAACCACCAGCAACTCGGCCTTCACGCCGATCAACTCGATGCCGCCGCACCTGAACTCGCTGAGCCACCACCCGATGGCCCAGCGGCCCTATCTCTACGATGCCATCAGCTTCCCGAACAAGAACGTGAACCAGAACAACGCCAACGCGTTCCCCAACCAGCTGATCTCGCTGCACCAGATCCGGAACTACGCCCACCAGCCGGCGGGTCTGATGGCGGGCGAACACCTGCTGGGCGTGAGCGTGGGTCCTGGGAAGGACAAGGGGTAGCTAGGGGCCTACTTCTAAGTTCGCAGTTAATCCATTATTTCTCCAAGCAGAGACGAGGCGTGCATTCCTGTACAGTATTAATTTGTAGGTAGTCGTAGCCCGTAAAGGACATTTTGTAATTTTGGTAGATCTTGTTTCGGTTTAGTTAAGGGTGTTACCGCGCACTTACTAAGCACACTGTAAATGGCCAACGATACGTACTCTAATTTGACCAACACCGTCCATACCTATGTTGACACAATGTCTTTTAACACGAACACAAGAATCACGATTAGGTGACTTGCTTTCAGTTTAAACCCTGCGTTTAAGAAGAATGCAAGCTCTGTCCAGCAAAAATTTCCCCATCACGTACTTGGTTTTGCAAGACCACGTAAATTACCCTGTAAATATAATTGAAAACGAAATTATTTTCGATGCACAAACGGATCTCGCAGTCTTGAATCAACGGCAGATGTCAAAAGCTGCAAACTAAGCCGATATTTGTACATAGATATACATCAAACCTAAAGGAACTTACCGGCAAACGTAATTTAAATTTAAATACAAATCTTCATAAATATATTTGTTTAGGTGTATCGTATTAAATACCGATATTTCTGAGGGAATTTTCTCGAAAAAAAAACACAAAGAGCGAACAAACTTAAGAAATCAAATGTGTTTACAACTATAGATGGAACTATGCGATAGATAAAAACTATTTTGAAAGAACCTTTTCTAAGTATATGTCGGCAGTGGCAAAAACAGAAGGAAGAAAACACAACCGAATAGAAATGTTGTATTACTTTTTGGAAAGACTGAAGTGATCAAAATTAACGAACCAGAAAAGGAAATAAAGAAAAATCAAACATTTTAAAGAGCGTTTTTACCGCAGTTACTATGCAAAACTGAATGTGTCCTATAAAATTTCGTACTAAATGGCAGAAACTAAACCTAAACGTAAATACGAGTATGACAACATCAAATGTAATGTATTATTAAATAAAGTAATTTTAATTTTAATCTAATTATAAACTAAATTTAATCTAACCCATAGCTAGTGTTTAACTCCAGAATGCAATCTCAATGTAAAGACAAAACCGAAAACGGAACACAAAAAAAAATACCTACAGTTAAGTGAATAGCAAAATGAACTTTGAACCACACACCCGAATTAAATAGAAACATTTGAGGAATTCAGATAGCTGAGCTAAATGATTATTTGTTTTACCGTCTAACGATTACAGAAGATTACAATACGATTCCAATGGCTAAGATATGCGAATACAAAGAATAGTTCCCGATTAAACGTCGATCGCTGAACGGCGTGGATACCCGCGGATATCGAGCTGAATATGCATACATACTAATATATTTGTCAATAGTAGATGTGTGTTCCTCAGTTGATGTAAATTAATTTCCGATTAACCAGGAACTCAACCCGTAATAAAGTGAATTAAATGTTCTCCATCGGCTGTGTCTCGGCAATTTCATTTTGGTTGGCATTCATAAACGGGGTGTTACAGTACATCCAATAGTCGTTGCTAATTATTTTCCTTAGCTCTTACCGACCTGTCGGCTGGCCAGCATAAGTTCCATTAAATTACCCAGCGATAACCCAGCGGTCGGTAACTTCCTTCATAAGGCAGACGAGTTGCAACTTTACGTGGAACTTCAGGGAATGCCTCAACTTCCCATCTGATATGCTCCAAAAAAATTGAGTTCAAAATCGGCTGACATTTTTATACCCTTGTATTATATTATAAATTCAGTCAAAAGTTTGCAACGCAGTGAAGTATAAAGTATACATATCCTTGATCAGCATCACCAGGATAGTCGATCAAGCCAAGTCCGTCTGTCCGACGTTCTGTCCGTTTCTACGGAAACTAGTCCATCAGTTTTGAAGCTATCGGTTTGAAACTGTCTGTCCGTCCGTCTGCCCGTCTGTCCGTCCGTTTCTACGCAAACTAGTCCCTCAGTTTTTAAGCTATCTGCTTGAAACTTTCCCAAAAGTTGTCTTTCTATTGCAGGTAGTATATAAGTCGGAACGAGCCGGATCGGGCCACTATATCATATAGCTGCCATATAACTGAACGATCGGAAATGCCATAACTTTGGTGTTTTTAAAGTTAAGAAGTTGGGATTTTCTATGGGTCTTATTTTTGGCTAATCAATCCGACCTACCAAATTTCATAAGGATCGGACGACTATATCCTATAGCCGCCATATAACTGATTGATCGGAAATGCAATAGCTTTGGTGTTTGTAAAGTTAGGAAGTTGGGATTTTCTATGGGTTTTATTTTTGGCCAATCAATCCGACCTACCAAATTTCATAAGGATCGGCCGACTATATCTTATAGCTGCCATATAACTGAACGATTGGAAATGACATAACTTTGGTGTTTTTAAAGTTAGGCAGTTGGGACTTATGATCATATGAATAATTTTGGAGAATATAATTTATAGAATATTCTGCAAGGGTATATCAACTTCGGCTCCGCCCGAAGTTAGCTTTCCTTTCTTGTTGGCCAATCAATCCGACATATTAAATTTCATAAGGATCGGCTGACTATATTCTATAGCTGCCTAATAACTTATCGATTGGGAATGCGATAACTTTGGTGTTTTTAAAGTTGGGAAGTTGGGATTTTTATGAGTGTTAAGAATGCATCATATGAATAATTATGGAGAATATAATTTACAGAATATTCTGCAAGGGTATTTAAACTTCGGCTCCGCCCGAAGTTAGCTTTCCTTTCTTGTTACTTTTCATTTTAGTATGAAAAAATAATTTCTAAACTTTTCTAAGATAGTCAATAATTTACATACAAAATAGGAACAGCCTAAAATAAAATGTTGCAACAATAAATTGATAGTCGTCTTGCCTTTCACTTTCCAAAATGGTAAACATGGTTTTACGCGCTTACCATTTATACCCGTTACTCGTAGAGTAAAAGGGTATATTGTATTCGTGCAAAAGTATGTAACGTATAAAGTATATATATTCTTGTTCAGGATCACTAGCCGAGTCGATCTAGCCATGTCCGTCTGTCCGTCTGCCCGACTGTTTGTCCGTCTGTCTGTCCGTATGAACGCTGAGATCTCGGAAACTATAAAAGCTAGAAGATTGGCATTTTGCATGTAGATTTTAGGAGTTCCTACGCAGCGCAAGTTTGTTTCAAAATGGTGCCACGCCCCCTCTGACGCCCACAAGCCACAAGCTGTGGCCACAGATATGTATTTGTTTCGTCAATACCTCTCGATTGGCCTAATAAAAGTTTGCCACGCCCACTCTAACGCCCAAAAACCCATTAAACGAGCTGCCAGCTCTAAGAGATCGCCTAATTCAAATTGATAATTTGAACTTTTTGTCCTTTTTTCCTGTGGTCACTCTAATTCACATTATGTTAATGCAAAATCTAAAGTTCTTTAGGCACTCGACTATAGCGTTCTTTCTTGTTTTATGGTATGCTAAATCATTTCAAAAATGGCTGAAAATTCACGAATTGATTCTAACTGCATTGCTTTTTTACTATTTTAATTTTTACAGCTGTTATATGTTGTAGATAGATGTATGATGCTTTTGAGTAATGATCCTGGGCCATATTCCCAAAAAAATACAAAAGGGAGCTTTCTCAGGCTTTTAAAATAAAAAATATATTTTTTTGTGGTAATGCCAGCAAAATTCTAAAAAATTCAGAAAATTGGCAACTTTCAAAAGATAGTTTACACGTCTTACCTCACATTGCCTATTTGGGACACGTTGTCCAGCTTGTTGGGATGTAGTTCGAAAGTCGAAAAGGTAGCTTTGTAGGCCTCACCCAATCCAGTTTATAGAGCACGGGCCACTCTTTTGATGGCCACCTCCCGGAAGCAGTGCTCCGTTGCCACCAGGATATATAACAACAAGATGGTGGCCTTGCTGGCGAGCTTAAACCGCGATTGGTGACCGCGCCGAAAGACGTTTACTAACCATCGAGGAGAAGATGACAACGAGACGTCTCTCAGCTTTTCGAAACCACCTAGCTGTTGTTGTCATCGCAGAACTGCAGGCCATCTTCTTCCGTTCGATCATAGCCGAAGGAGCAGATAACCGCCATTTGAATTTCCCAGGGTGCACTGACTCACGTGGATGAAGCTGCCGGTCTGCCTGCACTGGGTCACTCGCCTGGCCAACGGATAGCGTCACTGGTCGCCGTCGCAAATGTTCTTCGCCCCGCCGTTTCTGTTGAGGCAGCTCAGATAGAAGGTAGTGCGTCCCACGTAGTCCTCGACAACCAGGGACTTTGATGGGTCCTGCAGCTTGCAGTGCCCCATGGTCCAGAAGGGGTTTCTGATCCTGCATTGCCGTCCCTGCAATCCGCCTGCCCATCACACACCTGACTGCAGTTCAGTCACATCCCCTTGCAATCCAACAATTCCTCCTCTCTGGAAAGCACAAAACAAACTATGATCATCTTAGAAATCGAAAGTCTTCGTCATAAGCGCCGTAAAAATACATTCAGCCTCCGTGCCCTACTTTAATAGTTCCCATGGACACGCAAAAATAGTAAGAAAGAGCAAAAATGTCAAAACATGTAAAATTATAAAGCTCTTAAATACAAACACTTAAGCTTTAGAGTCCTTGCTTTACTATAATTTACAAATGACGAGAAATGGTAAATATTTCTATAGGTTCTTACATTATACTTTTTCGAAGGGCTGAACTTGATTTCAAGCAAAAACACTTTTCTAAGAAACTCGTAATGATCGCATTTAAAACATACAAAAAATCTGATACCAATTTATTTAATGCGAAGTGATAATACATTCGACTAGCTTTTCTCATTTGGTTCGCCGCTCCAAAGTATTTTGGTACTCTACCTTAATAGGAATTTGCTGTTGCAAACTTTACAAATTTTAAAATTTTTTATTAAAAATTTATAAAATTTTACAATTTTTTCATTTTGAAAAGCCCCAAAATCTTTTTTTTTAATAACTTTTGACCAGAGCAACGAATTTATAGCATTGAGGCGCATTTTTACAAGATTTACAACAAGAAGCAGAACAAAACATTTTTGCCCACCGAGCAGCACTGGAGCTCTAATTATCAAAATTTGTATATTTTCACACCTAGTTTTTCTAAGCCTATATATGCTTAAGGAGTATTACAATTTTCTGAATGCACAAAATTTCAAGAATATTGTGTAAAAATTTTATATTGATCGAAGTAAAACTTCCAAAGTTATGTAAGTTAGCGCGTTTTATATTCGATTTTTGGGTGCCCAAAACTTTAAAACGGTCTCCTGAAAGGATGCCATTTTCAAAGTCGGTGCCAAAATTTATACAAAATTTACTGGACAAATCGTTTTGAAATTCCTCAGGTAACGATGCCGAGTTTTTTTGTTTTTGGGAAAATGTATTATTTTTACAACAACAAATAAGTCGGCTTTTTGGACGAAACCTTTAAAGTGTCTTTAAAAATTGAAAAAAAAATTACAAAATAAAAACTCGACATCGTTACCTGAGGAAATTTCTCCTTTAAATAATGCAATTTGATTTTTTCAATTTAGATGGCTCTATGATTAGTTACGATGTACTCCGTAAACCACATTTTTTTCGAGGTCCCGCCGGAGATTGCCGGAGATACGCAAATCACATAGAAAAACAAAAATTTTCTTGAAACTATTCGTATAGTCAATAAAAATTCGTAAAAAATTATCGATTTTGCAGCGAATTAACCATACTCCCCCTTAAAGCCTTGGTATGTGCACCCATTTGGATCGGTACATTCCTATCACTGAAGTCTTCATTTTTCAATAGCTTCTGAAATATCTGTTTAATTTGGAAATTTTCGGTGTATCGATAGAATCTAACGTGATTTTGGGCCTATTGTAAATTTATTTTAATAATTTAAATGCTTAAATATTCAACCAATAACTTGTTTTACCATTTAATATGTTGGTTCTACAAATTTCCACTGTGAACTTCTAACATAAGATCTTTTTATTTAACAAAAACCAAAACTTAAAATAATCCCCTTTGAGGTCTTTATACTCATTCTGTAGATTTGCGCCCTCCAAGCATTCGAACTTATTCTATTCGCTTCCATCCCAACAATCGGATTTTCCATCGCATGTAAGGGTACTATTCAAGCATCCTCCATAGGTGCAGCGAAAGAAGTTATCGGCATCGCAGATTTTGTTATAACACAACTCAAACTTTTCGTCTGGCTGATCAGAATCTTCCTCTGCTAGACAGTCAACAATTCCGTTGCAAATCTGACTATTTTGAGTGATAAATTTGAGCGAATAATCCCAATCTAAAAAATTGCAATCACAATAAAATATGTGGTAGACTATTTTTGCTGTGACTGCATTTATGAAAAATAAAACTTGTAATGAATTAAAATCCTTTTAAACAGAAAGTCCAACTGCAACAAGCACATAAACTTTTTTGAAGGGATTTCAATGGATCGGATACCAATGTTATATTGACTTACCAATCATAAGTAATGAATTTGCTGAGAAGTTTGATTTTTTATACCCTTTCAGAAGATATTATAATTAATTTCAGTCATAAGTTTGCATGCAGTGAAGGAGACATTTCTTACCTTATAATATATATTATTGATCAGCATCACCAGGAGAGTCAATCTAGCCATGTCCGTCAGTCCGTCCGTCTGTCCGTCCGTTTATACGCAAACTAGTCCCTCAGTTTTAGTAATAAATGGTATAGAGGCGACATAGCAGTAGAGATAAGGCACAGATAAATATAATGAATTAAGTATGCACACTTTAGATTGTTTTTTATAATACGTTTTATTACTGAAATTAACCATTTGATGTAGCTTACAATTACTATTATATATAATGTAGAATTATACACATCTCATATATATGGGTTCCTTTGCAAACACTCATCGCATATGTATTGGTAATTATTGTTTTCCCATTAGACGAATTGAAGTTTTGATTGGACACGAATTGAATTTGTATTTACCATTCTTCTGAATGACTATGTATGCTTGTATATATCCTTATGGTATGTACGTAGGTTTTCAATGAAATGTAATGCTCTAACATTCAGTTCACAAAATATACGTAGAAACGGGCTGATGTCTATATAGATCTGGTATAGTTCATAGTTGTATTCAGTACACTCAGCATCAGTAAGTGGATAATGACTCTGTGTCTTCTTTAAGCTATGCTTTCCTCGGGGATGCTTTATCCATTTTATTTATAAGAAGTGCCGCTAGATACACCTTGGAGTGCTTATTGCGTTCGGTTTGAGCTATTCGTGAGTGGTTATACTCTAGTATGTTATTGGTAATTGATTCCTACATGTACTATGCTGCTTACATTATTGTTTTGTGTTTTGTTTTTTCTCCGAATCAATGTTTTTCTGACTTTTTCGATCAATTTGTGTGTGGTTTTGTAGCTTCTTGGTGCTAAGCATTCTGCTGCGTGTTCTCTCTAGATTCAATTTGGTTTAGTTTTATTTGTAGCTTTAGTTATTTTTAAGAGTACGTATAAAGTGTTAAGCAGTAAGCCTTTTTCTTCGCTTTAATCTGGACACACTTCAAGAGCTATCGGAGTGTGCGACTTTGGTGTTTGGTATTCACTATATTCATGGTATTTTTTATACTTTACAATTAAACAGAAATTTTCTAAATAATACAAATTATATTGTACACAGACATTATGCTTAAGAGTTATGTATCATCATTAATATTTTATACATATGCATGGTTATTAATGTATCTTGTTTGAAAATCGGCTTCATTTTGTATCGTGGTGGGCACATTAAATGGGACTTCAGTTATTTGATATGAAAATCATACATAGATATATATAAGTTACATAAACGTAAAAGAAAAATTCTATACAGCAACAAAATCAGTGTCCATTACATGTTTTTTTAAATCTGTTTCCTTTTCGCATTTTCCAAAAATGATTTTTTTAAGATGTTTCTGAATTATCTTACACCTATTTTTAAGGTCCTAAACATTTTCTAATACATTTAAGTTAGTTAGTAAATATTATTTTCTGCAAGTGGCTTAAGCCGCCACGCTTTGAAGCAACTAAACGCAAAAATCATAAGAGGTCTCCCAAAAATCAGATTTAATGCAAGTAATATGTAAAAAAAACTGAGTTTTCAAAACTCCTTAAAACATATTAAACTAAATGCTGAACGTGAGACAAATTTAAAGGGGCGACGAGCTCATGCTGATGAACCGCATGACTCCCGCTCAGATGCCTGTTCCTGCTTCTTCCCTTCTTATAAGGGGCGCCAGCGCCCAGGTGGTTTCATCCTTTTCCCTACTCGTTCAGCTTGTGCCACTCGGCGATCTGGCGGCGCGGCGAGTTGCACACCTCATTCCAGTGGTTCAATGCGGTGCTGCTCGAATTCGGTCCACCCAGCTCCAAGCGACCGATAACCTGTGAGAATGTCCAGCGAGCATTTATTGAGTTATTAGCATTAGGTCATTCCACTTCACTTACCTCATTCTTGGTCACGCGATCCCAGTCGAGCAGCATCAGCTCCAAAGACACACCCTCAAGAGTGGCGCCAGTGCCCTGTAATTTATTAAACAATGGTTGCATACATATTGTTTTAGGTAAAGACATTTGATTATAACATTTTGGATATTTCTTATATTTGGAAAAAATGCTAGTTTTAAACGACTTTTGCATAAGTGCTAATCAGAACACCTAGCTAACAAGTTATTCAACTAAAGGCCTCTTTACGCATTCTGATTCCTTATTTGATGTCTGATTACTGATTTTGGCTTAACAGTCATACATATATAACTGCCCAATAAAATTTAATAATCAACGCACAGCCAAGTCCAGTTGAATAACATATTAATATATCAATATCATTAAACTGTTTTGCTAAGATAGGACTGGTATCCCAAAGGCTCCAAATAGTTACAACTGGAAAAAAAGGCGGTAAGCCATATAAACAATCGATTAGGTTTTTGGGCCATGTCGAGTAATGATAAAAATTTTGAGTTTTTTTAGCATATATATTGTAAACAAATATTCCTCTATAAATAAATTCGACCAAATAGTATAAACTCTTTTTTAAAAAGTTTGAAAGAACTGATATATTCCATAGCATATATGTAGTCGTCCGATTATGACCAAATTCAAATTAACCAAGAACAATCAGTGACATATGTGTACACATACATTTATACATGCATGCAACTACCCAACCAATATCTTCAAAATTATTGATGCAAGCGATTTTTAAGTTTGAAAGTATTTTTCTTCGAATGTAAAAATGTACATTTGTGAAGTTAGCCCATTAGGTTAAGTTCTATCCATTTTCAAAACCGCAACGGATGTAACATTGAGTAGGGAAGATTGCAATTTCTATTTAAAGAAAACTCACCTCGGCGGCGGGTATATCGAAGGCAAAGCTCTCGTTAAAAACGGGACTCAAAGTGCGCTTCTTGACGTGCGTCTTCTTCTTGGCGATGCGTTGGCCATTGTAGAGGAGATAGATCTTGACATAAGGATCGGCCAGACCGGTGACATCCATGCGCGGTAAGTTTCGGGCCTTGAGGAGGACTACGGTGAGACGACCGGCAGCTGGTTGCCAGCAGAGTGAGATGAGCAGTTCGCCGCGGCCCTGGGCTCGGATCTTCAGGCTGCGAGGCTGAATCTCCTTGCTGATGGACAGGGCCTCCTTGGAAATGTCCCCGATCTCGATGGAGGTCAGTGGGCAAACCACCTCGCCAATGACATCGTCGCGCGAATACCGATCGAAGCTGAGGATGACGAAGTGCAGCGACATGTTCTGCAGGTCGTTCATGTTCAAGCCGTAGAAGGTGAAGTCCTCGTCGTAAACCGGGTTCCTGGTGTTTCGGACCACGCGGGTCTTGACCTTGTGCTGCTTGTCCGGCAGCAGTTGCAGCTTGACATACGGATCAGTGGCGGCCTGGGTACGTCCGTTCATTCCGGTGGGGATGTCCCCAGTTCCGCCCGATCCGCCCTTGCAGGGCAGTCCGCGGCAGCGTATGATGGAGACCATCAGAGCGTTCCTTTCTGCCAAGTAGCGCAGCTTGAAGTATATGGTGCCCAGCTTTCCGTACTGGTCGGTCACGACAAGATCCTTCCCGTTGGTCAGCGCCTGATCGTCCAGGGTGATGGTCACACTTCCGTTGGCGATCGTCTCCACCGGCGAGTGGTGGAGGCTGTTGTGCAGCGAGTGCTTCAACCCGTTGCCATCCACCACGGTCAGTTGGTTGCCGTTGCCATTGTGCTGCTCCGGATGCTGGGGCGGTCCCTCGTCCTCCTCGCTGTACTTCACATTCGGCTGGGCGATCGGGGAGGTGGACTGGTCCTGCATAGGCGACAGAAGACCCATCTGCTTGCCGCCCGTCGGCGAGGGCGACTTCTTCAAGTAGTGCGGCGGCTGGCCGCTGGGCGATCGAACTGCGGTCGGTCGCCGGGTCGGCTGGAAGGGGAAGGAGGCGTCATGCTGGCTCTGCTTCTTGTTCCGGAGACGCATCTGCCGGGCGCAGATGCAGGCCACCGACGAGAGGACGGCAGCCGCGGTCAGTCCCAGGATGGCGGGCACAACTGGGAATCAGAACAGGAAAAATTACTCTTGTTAAGGAACATATTTCAAAACATCTAAATTAAATTATTTTAAGCAATAAACACAGCAGAGTTTTCTTGATTGATAGCTTTTATTTTTAAATTTTTTTAACTATCTTGCTTCTAAATTAAACATAAAAACAAAATGCACTTAAATCTTTCTGTGATATGTTGGGTGAATGCCCGCGAAATTCTTAAAATAAACTCTTTTCTTTTCCTATAAACATCGTAACAAATATATAATGGCGATTGATTACCGAAATGCCGAGTAAGGGGATTATACCTCCTCATATGTTTTCTTGTTATTAAACGTAACCAAGACCTTGACTTTTACAAGTTCTTTGTTAAGTGAAGTTTTCGCGATCCCTCATAATAAAAGACTCACGAATGATATACCAATGATATACCACAGGTACAAAGAGCTGAATTAATTATGCATTGCCTTCCAGAAAAGTTTACGAAAAACTTCTCGGCAGCACTTTGAGCAACTTCCTAATGGGCAAATTGGATAAATCTGCCACAAAGGTCGCATTTGGCGCTGCAATATGTTACTTACTTGTGTCCATGACGCTAACATCTGGCATATACTCTTCAGCCATTTTTAATGGATTAGGCTTTGCCGCTCTGAGCACGTTTCCTCTCGATGTTCCTCGTAGCTGTGTGGAATAACAATTAGTCACAATTTGTAAGTGGGGAGGAAAACTTTTGGTAAGTGTCTTTGGAGGTTTGCAACTTTCTGTGGCACGTGAAAAATTTCGTACATCGATTTTGCGCACAAATGTATGCTAGAGACTTTTTCTTGGGCAGCAGCTGCCCCGAGTGCTCAGGTTATGCTTTTGTTGTTATTTGCATTACTTTAGAAGACACACAAATACACTTATGGAAAGAGAGCGCAAGAGCCACAAACAGCCGCACACATATGAGCTAAGGGTGCAAGTCTGGGGTCGCATGAATCATCACAACCCCCGCACTCACGCACAAGGAGTTCCCTGGTTTTTCCACTTCTGAAAGCCATGTTCGTTGGAAAAACAGGTCCAAAAATTATTTATTTGCCTTCAACACCAATCTAAACTTTTCAGAAAAAAATATACACCTCTTTTTTCACTTCTTATTTGTCTTTCTTGTGTATGTTGTAGGATCAAAGATTCTTGAAACTCAATTAATTGGCAGCAGCTTGGCAGTTCTTATGCTTTTCTCATTAACAATTTTGTTCCTCCATTTTAGTCTTTTGAATGTAAAATATTCTTACTTAATGTAAATATATGTTCACAATTGTTTTTAAAAATTTAAGACTTTGCAATGCCCACGATTTGTGGAAAAAAATTGAACAACGCAGTTCAGCAGCCGTTTGACTTTATTTTGCTAGTGGCTTCTTCGCTTGACTTGGAAATCGTTAAACCTGCGCAAGCGCATAAAAACTCAAGAGCTTTTTGTGTGGGCTGGTTAACTGGAAGCGGTGGTTGAAGGAACCTGTGACGTCTAAGCCTAGAACAAGGGTGACCACCCAGGTTTTCCAACACTGCCAAAAAGAAAAGTAGTAATAAAAGATTGAGTTATTTATAAATAGCTAAAAAAAAGATTAAATTTCGTTAAAAATTAAAACACCAGACTACTACTCACTTTAATCATATTAAAGCTACGGACTTGGGCAAAGTTTCAAAGAGCGCCAGCTTTCTGGCCAGCTTAAAGCTGCCTTTCGTTAAGTTAAAGCTTTTCTCCAGTTTAAAAAGTCTCGCGCCTGCCGGCCAGAAGCTGAGTCGGTAACGCTCTGCGTCTGCGCGCAGTTCGAACAAGTTAAGAGACTAAAATCACCATCTCAGTGCAGTGCTCAAGAGGGTTACTAAGAAAAACCCTAGAAGGCAGTGACTAAAAACCATTGTAAGCCGCAGATAGTGTTTTTTTGTGTTCATTCAAAGCTGGGAAAACGTTTAAGCCCGATAGCACTCAAGTTTTTATCTTCTTCGGGCCATTGAGCAATATTCCTAGAGCCATTTTCAATAAGGAATAAACAATTAATTCAATATTAAAAACATAAAAGGAAACCAGACACCAAGCCACTGGATACGATCGTAAGTTGATGCAATCGCTTTAAAATCTATTATTTTTTTGGCTTTTTGGTTTTTCACAACCGAAAAATCCGCCGTGTCCGTTTCTGGCATTGAGGAAGCTCAACAGATTTGGCCAGCTTTCGGGCCCGAAGTCTGCCATTGTCATAAGCCCAAGAAACGGAACTTTGTTTGGTCTTCTGATGGCTCACGGCGATAAATTGTACTGCACTTTTTAGCAATAGCTCCAATTCGATTCGTTTGTTTCTCTGGCCCACAACAATGTATGCCTCACGATTTCTGCTCTAGACACGTTTCTAATTTAAGTTACTGGTTTATATTTCTTTTTCCACACACATCAAAACGGTCACCCATTGTCTGCCATTTGACCACTAGTGTGTTCGAATTTGTGCTCAATTACACAGTGTATTATTCGTTTTATTTGTATGAAAAAGTACCCATATTAAGGTGTTATACGATGTCAGTTCATTAAACGACTATTACAGTAATAAGAAATTAGCCCGGTTTCTCTCTCAATTCCACCGCTCATTAGCCACCTCGTTTTGACGGAAACGGGTGGTATTGTAAGGCTTATTTATGGTGAGCACATTTCGTCTTTGGATCCGAATTGAATGGAAATATCCGTTAAGTGCTAAGAGGAAACGCCAAGCTTACATTGTGAAATATGCTGCTTATTAATAAAAAATATTTATATTAAGGTATAAAAGAAAAGAAAGAATTAATTGAACCCTCGAATAGGACTACTTATAAACTATAATAAAAATGTGACTGTCAATACTATGTAACTTATATTCACAGAAAAAGTACCATTTTCTATAAAGAATTACAATTTACTTTTAAGAAATCATATTAATAAAAATAAAATTTATTTAAAATTTCTTATTTCAACGACTGAATTTCGCAACAATTAGTATTTCTCGAACGAAGCAAGTAGCAAAACATTTCCTATCAAAAGCACTGAAATCGAATTAAAATTTCAGCGGAATCTGTTAAAACATACATATGTAAGTGATGATGAGGCTGCCAAATTGTTGCTCCTTAAAGTGGTTCCCCAAATACAAAAATATTGCAAATATTTACCAAAAGCTTTCAGCTGAAAAGTCGAAAAACATCATCATTTCTCCCAAACAATTCAACAAATTATATATAAGATTCAATATAAAGCGTGCTGAACCCATTAAAAAAGAGTTCAGATTCGACGGCTTGCAAAGATATTTTTTTGCATATCGGTTTCGGTTTACAATTTTAGGGCCTTTTAATTTCGTTGGGTTTTTTATGGACTTCTTTTTATTGACGAACGCAGTTTCAAGTAGGCGATGATCCATCAAATTTTATTGAGGGCAAACAGTGTCCGGCGAATATATAAAGGTATCAGTGTCTTGGCGGGACGTGGTGGGGGCAATGAGACTAAGTGAGTTTGGAGCAGAGTGCTTTGACCGAATGACACCCACGCTTAGCTTTCTTTTCTGTAGTTGGCAAAAAACTTAAAGACTCTACACACAAAAACTGTTTGCACACACCAGTCCGTAGATTTTTAAAGTCATGTTCAAATGTCAGCGGCAGATAAAAATTTGTATGTCTCCATGTTTTGGGAGCGTGCTGTCGACGCTTTATCTGCTGCCAACATTTTTTTGGGGTCTAAAAAAATGGGAGAAAATTCGAAAAACCGTTTTAAGTTTGCAAAGCCTGTTGCTTGGCTTTTGTTACTCCTCTTCAGAGACATCGATTGACTTTTGCTGCCTGTTGTTTGTTTGCCTTGCGATTGTCTGCTCCCTTTTTGGGCATTTTGGCAATCGTCCATTCATTTCGCCGAGCATTGAATATATCTGTAGCATGTAGTCATTGCCGTTTGCCATTTAAATGGTCGTTGGCTTGGCTTTATTTGTTTAGAATTCGTTATGGCACATTGCCAGGCCAGAGTAGTCACGAAGCTTGAGCCGACATAAATCTAAAAATGGGACAAATTTTTGAATGTTTTTCGGGGAATTTTCCTGAGAAGCGAAATTAGCATATTGTGTAAAGTGATCGAATATGCACAAAGAAAAATGAGCACACCAATTTACGATTGCGTCGATTTAGTCGTTCAAGCGATATTACTTCAAATACATTTATGGCAATAGCAATTTTTATAACCATTTAACCTAAAATAATAATACAAAAATAAAACATCACGCCTATTTAGAATTAAGTTGGTAAAATTAACATAATTACAAGTACATAACATTTTAACAGAACTTTACAAAAAATAAAATTCAAAATGAATAATTTTTTAGTGTTTTAAGTGGTTATATTCTTTAAAAACTGTTTTTCCTAAACATTTTATAATTTTTCAGTGGGTATCTATGGCATGCTTAAGATTTCACTTTGATCTTAAAAGCATTGAATTTTGAGCATACAAATTCGAAAGAAATTTTTTTATGAAGAATACTCCAGTAGTTGTACAGATATTTCTCTGTTTTGGAGATTACTCAATCTCAATATCGACAATCGGTGGGCCCCTGGGCGTCCCACAAAATGTTATCCTAGCGACAAGCGTGAGAAATCCCGGCAAAACATCAATTACAGCACAACCCTGTTAACAAATTCACTCATTTAGCAATGAAACTAAAAGTGTTGTTACTGTCTGCGGGCCACAAAGCCGAGCTCATGAAATGGGAACCCAGTTGACAGGCAGCTCCTGAACAGCGAAGTTTGGAGCCGAGCTGCCCACCTTATATTTTTATTTTTTTGCATCCGCCTCGGGGCCACCGAAGAGATGAAGTTGCTGCTGATGTGGCTGCTGCTTTTTGCCTTATCCAGCACGTAACCAGCGATCAATCAAGGCACTCAGCCCGGCCAACTCTCATCTGGGGTCTTTGACAAACGCCGGAATGATGCGCAGCGCAATTGCAGAATTTCACTCGAAGCTTAATTGTACGAGTTCGAGCAGTACGAGTGCCACGTAATTGGCAACGCCAAGGGTATTACATTCAGTTGCCGCAACATTTTGCCAGGCGAAATGCAACAAAATGTTGTAAATATTCAATCACGTAGTTCGTGCAACAATAGCCCAAGCGGCCGAAAAACAAAATTTAAATAAATTATGTAAAACTGTTTTTCGGTCAGCTTTCTAACTTGAAAAAAAATGCATAGGGAAATGTATAGGTTTTGTGTGGTATTTCCGTTTCTGTTTCTGGTGGAAAAATCCATTGTCAGTCGTGCCGGTCAATGCCATCTCAATAAATTAAACTGTGCAATTCTCTGGAAATAATAACAACACAAATCAAATAAAAGGGCAATTACCCATTATGCAGATTATAGGCAAGTAACGATTTTATTGTTTTTCGCAGCTGTCTTAAAGATTTTTGTCGATACTAACGAGGGTTGTAAATTTGTAAGCTATAAGCTGCGGAATTTGCCGAGGGAAATCCGTAGAGCTGCAAGCGATAGAAGAATATTTGATTGGATAGTTATCGAACATCTACTTGGAATCTTTTTTGTAGCAAATACGTCAAACCGTTAGCCTGACCAGCGTCAGCAGAAGCGCATTAAAGCCTACTATTGCCTACTAACATTTAACAATTACGTGATGAAGCATGACAAGGTGGAAACCCAACAACATCAACTGCAGCACCAACAACTGCCAGCAAATTCTCACACAAAACATTCGCACATTGTAGATGTCGCGTTGACAATCGACTGAGGCAGAGGCAGAGAAAAAGAAACCTAACGTGAAGTACGCAAAAGTAACAAGAAACAAGAGGAAAAACAATAGAAATCCAGGCTTTTAATGCAGATATTTCTAATTCCCTAACTAATTTTCAGGATAAAATTGTGTTGGTCTATATTGGAATACTTGATCTTTAAAACAAATATGTTGTTCGCTGTCTTCTATTTAATGTTAACTAAAAAATATAATAAACATATTTCTATTTTATGCTAGTCCTATTTGTCTATATTATTTAACGTAATTTTTTTCCAAATTAATAAAGTTTTGATGAAAAAAATTTGTTCATGTATGTAAACATTTGTATAATTTAAACAGATCTAACATTTATTTGTTTTTACAATCTCAAATGCTCTGAGTATTAACGAGCGAAAATACTTTAGTCGCAACACAAAATATGAGCTTTGGTCGGATTTGATAACTTTTTCCGGAACAACCAACGCATCCCTGGGCTTTTCAGTTGGTAATTTTACATGGTAAGCAAGGGTATAGAAATAAAACCAAGAAAAGTCCGAATTGGGCTCGCAGTCTGCCGCCGTGTTGTTGCATTTCTATCTGCCGCCACGCGCATGACGAATGAAAGTGAAAATAGGAAGTCAAGAGATGGCCAAAGAGCCATGAGACCGGCAACAACAACGGCCACTCAGACTTCGAGTCAGACGTTGGCCAAGTTGGCCAGACATAGCGCGGCAGTTTCCTCCAGTTTCGGTGCGAATGCAATTGCCGCCAGTTGCCATTGCATTTGCAGGTTGCAGGTTGCAGTTTCCAGCTAGCAATCCAGCTTCAGTTCCAGTTGCTTTACTTTGCCACACTCTTTGGTTTCTTGGCCAATTTCTAATGGCTAAAACGGCCAGAGATGGCTGCGTAATATCAACGGGGTTGCCGGGGGCAATGTTTGCTTTGCCGGCTCGTTATCCTCTGCAGGCCGGTGTTAATTTATGGCCTCGCGCTTGGCCAGATCCCCCCGTACGTGTTCAGCTTTATTTATGAACTTTTCCCAAATCTATTTCTATTACTGGCTGTTTGCTATTCGCGTTTTACCGGGAATTTCATAAAATTATTCATACACCATGCCAGCTTGGTGCCGCTTGTCAGTTTGACGCCCGAACGTGAACAACTTTATGGTTCGTTTTTATTTTTTATCCGCGTCTCTAGTTTTTTGCGTCCTCTTTAGCGCATTTACCGTTAAATTTTAATTTTAAGCAAAGAAGTAAAACCGCAAAATCAAAGCAAACTCGTTCCCATTCAAAGTTGGAGGTCCATAAGCCAAATTAATGACTCTAATTTGCCGCAATGTGTTGAGCATTAAATTTGTTATAGTTTTTTTCGCTTATTATGCGTATTTTTTTTACAGGCGGGGAAGTTGGAAATTTCACTTTGATTTTAAGTAAATTTTAGTCACCAATTTACTTCAAATCTTTATTTAATTTATTTAGTTTATAATCATATAATAATTATCAACCTTTTTATAAAATATAAAATGTTATTTTTTATGTAGAATATGAAATAACTCATAAGAAAATCTAAAAGCCCACCCCGAAACGTCTGGCAAAGATCAGATGAGATCCCACCCCATCCAAAGGTGGACCTTACACAATTCACCCAAAATCACATGGCTTTATCTGGCGCCTTTGTGGTGGCACGCATAAATTGCATTACTTTATGAATATTATTCTAATAAATGCACGGTTCCCACATTAATAAGCACCCGAAAAACCATGCCTAAACATAGTATGGCAGAAGCAGCAGATAACCATATAACAAGGCCCAAAACCATGCCTCTATCTGCGGTATTGTTCACACTGACTGACTGCCCGATTGACTGACTGACTGACAGCTCAAAGAAACCTTCAAATGCAACGCAGCAATGAAGACAATGCCAAGCAATATCAATGAAGTGATCGTACGAGTACAAAACAAACCACAAGAAGACAACTGCAGCTCCGGTCGGCTTTAATCGACACTATGTTCGCTTCAGTGCACAAGATATTATGCGCCATGCTTCTCATCCGATAAAGTTGCTAATACAAAACAAGCTGTAATTATGACAACTCCATTGACAATCTTGTCAACTAGGTTACGCAGGAAGTTTGAATAATCAGATGATAACAAAAAAAATGTCGTCAGCTAATTAAATAATGGTCGACTTATTCTCACCATTAAAAAGTAAATCTGATAATAATTGTGTAAATAATTATGCCCTTTTTTTTTTTTTTTTTTTTTTGTATTACAGTTTTTTGGAGACACTTACCGAAATACTTTGGAAAGTTATTATTGACTTCTTTAGATTTCTATAAGAAAGCGTTATTGTTTTTATAATAAATAACTTATAAGAATGACTTTAATTGGAATATGTTTACTATTAGAACGATAGTTCACCATTATAAAATTTACTTGTACTTTATTTTAGAATTGAATTTAAAAGTAACACACATTAATCAAATAAATAACTTAGGATCATTTTTTGGAAATTGCTGCATTCCCGATTTTTTATCCCTAGGATTTTCCTACAAATTACCATGAGTCGCCACGCAGAAGTGGACCAATCTGTGCTTGCAACGGAAAACTTGTCCCGAACAACTTTTAATTTTCTGATTGCTGCACGACTTTTGCACGCGTTTTTCTTGGCGTTTGAAGTTCGCCTGTTGTAACTGTTGTTACCTGGCTTTTACGAACCTGCTGGAAAACTGGCTGCGAGGTCAACCGCCTCTCTTTTCGATTTTCCTCGCTCGCGTGAGTTGCGTATGTTCTTCGACTTTGTTTTGACTGATTTTTCTGCCTTTGCTTAGCTTCACTTCACTTTCGTGGCATCCTTCAACTTTAAAAGCGAAAGACACCAAAATGCAATTGAAATGAATGAAAAATCGTGTTCCAAATGTCAGAGCGAGCACCATTGTGGCACCCAAACTCAGACGAACTGTAGCAATTGCATGATCTTCTCGATCTCCGCTTAGGTGATTCTCTTGTTTCACTTTCGGTTTTGGTTTCGGCTTCAGTTTCTGTTTCTGTTTCAACTACTTTGTTGCTTTGTTTTTTCGGCTTTCTGTTTTTGGATACAAATTGCGATTTTATTGCTTCAAGCTGTTCGAGTTAATTGAGGTCAGAAGCGTTGTCAGCATCTTCCAAAAATGCACTGATTTTTGGGATCGGTTCGGTTTTATTTTGGGTGCTAATTGTCCGCCCAAAAAGGAGCGTGAAGAGCAATGTTAGCGGCAAACAGTTAAGGTTTTACATCCTCCTAAAAGGAGCTAAGAACGGATCACGTTTCTCTACCTTCGCAGTCAATCTGTCTAACCCGGCGGTCATTAATCGACCACCGACGAGACGAACAAATGACATAATTATATTGCACATTACTCAACCGTCGTTGGCTACCGTAATTCCATCCAGCCTCATTGCTTCTGTTTTAGGCACAGACCAAGCGGCAGTTTCGAAATTTAAAATAGGAAAGAAAAGGGTAGCCAACCAGACATTTTTGGCCGCTTGGGGCTAAGGTCATGTGAAACTATGCAGCAGAAGCAGCAGCTGACTGAACAAAAGCCGCGCACGGATGATGAGCTATGACTTCTGTCCGTTTGTCTGTTTGGCCTTTTGGTAATTGCCAATGCTGCCGGCAGTTGCCGTTTGTTTGCCAAATGGCCAAGATATAAAAAGTATCTTTTTGATTTCAATTTCGGTGTGCATTGAGACAGACGACGACGCCCATTGTCTCGCTGGTTACTCTTATTAATTACAGTACTGTGGCTGGAGCATTACTTTGATAATTTTTAGTCTTTGTCTCAATGGACAAGGTTAAACAGAAGTTCATGTTGTGGTTTTCAAAGTTATATGACTTTACCCTGAAGATTTTCGTTTAATCAACATACAATTAAATGAGCAAATAGATAATAAAAACATTATTTATAGATTGAAAAATATTTTTTTAATTTTTATATTATGGTATTATTAGTATGTTAAGATTTATTTGGTGTGCACATTTTTTAGTTAAGTTCTTGGCTGAAAATAAAGATAAGAAGATACCGAAAATAAAAACGTAGAGTTCGAACATAATGCGTAAGTTCGTGTCCTAAGTCTTTTGATTTCTTGTTGTTTTTACTACTGTTAAAGGTATTTTTTTTTGTTTTCTTTCCGTTTGAAGATAGGGAAAATAAATTCCTTAGAGATGTAGATTTGCTTGTTTGAATTTTCTTCGTACTCAAAGTATTGCATAAAGATTAAAGATTGACACTAATAATAAACTTCTTTATTTCAGCCCGTCAACATGTCCGCCAGCCCCTCAGCCTGCGATTGTTTAGTGGGCGTGCCCACTGGACCCACCCTCGCCTCCACTTGCGGTGGCAGCGCCTTCATGCTGTTCATGGGCCTCCTGGAGGTGTTTATACGCTCCCAGTGCGATCTGGAGGATCCATGCGGTCGGGCCAGCTCTCGGGTAAGTTTGGCCTAATTATGACATTCCAAAACAACATTCTACTTTGGTTATTAACACAGTTTCGATCGGAGCCGGACTACGAGTACGATTTCATTGTCATTGGCGGTGGCTCTGCGGGCTCTGTGGTTGCCTCCCGACTCTCCGAGGTGCCCCAATGGAAGGTCCTGCTGATAGAAGCCGGTAAGGAATGTTGTTCCAGCAACATGTACATATATATTTACTTAGCTTAGCTTTGACTCACGCTGCTCACGGGCAATTAGAGGCACGTTATGTGGCATTTGTTTAGAAGTAATTGAAGCTTAACAGCGGCAACAACTGCAACAATGGCAGCAACACTAATGCCACTTGGGCAAGACCGCGTCAAAGAAGCAACCGCAACCGCCACGAGCATTATGTAAACTAAACGAGCTGCCACCTCGGCCTGAAGGCAATCTAAGCCCATGCAAATGTCTTCTCTCTATATAGGATTTAGTTTCGCCTCGAGCTGTTAGCCCGCTTGCAAGCTCTGAAAAGGTTTTTTTGATTCGCTTGACTTGGTTTTTTGCATTCAATAATTATTGTTCCTCACTGCCTTTTTTATGAATGAAAAACGGTTCAGGCACTACACGTGATTTTCTTGCAAGTTTATTTGATTCTGCTCTGTGGTGCCGATGTTCAATGCAGTGCATTCACTTTGCATTTATTAAACTCATATTTAAGGCAAACTCAGCTTAAGGGGCTTTTAGCACTGCATAATATTAATATTTTCGCATGTACGTTTTTGAGCACAAGTTATTCGTTTATTGATTTGTTTATAGCTTCTGTACCCAAATATCAATAATATCAGCTGAGTTCATATATTCAATATATTTGTAAAATACACAACATGACTTAGTTAATAAATATAACCTGGCTTGAACTGGTTAATTAAAAATTATTTACGGGATACATTTTGAAATTCTTTAATCTTAAAACTTTAATATTTTACGAAACATCAACTATTGCCTATAATCAAGTTAATTGAAGTAAAATATTAAGCCACACTTCAAATGATAAATCTCAACTTTCCTAGAGCTACTAAAAAATAATCATCAATCATGGCTATTTTCTCGTCTCTTACTAATGTCTTAATAAGACAACAAAGTGCTATGAAAATCACCTCAGCTATTTTTAAGCCTGGGAAAGCATTCTAATAGCTCCATTAAAATTGCCCGATCAGCATTCTCGGCTCTGCTTGGCTTACTTTGTGGGTCTCCCTCAGTTTTTCACTCTTTGCGCAAAGTAATTGTTTATAGCGACAATTTTTGCGCCTCGTCACTAATTACACTAATTACGAGCCGAAAACCGCGAAAGAGAAGCACATTCGAAGTTGTCAATGCGTTGGCGTTAATTATACAACAATGCCTGAGGCTGAAGTGCAATTAGCTGTGGCCATTACCTGGCTTATTATACGTCTATATCAGTATGAGCAGATAACTCCCGGCCAAAGTGGCTTTTGTTTCGACTAAGCCGCAGAAGATTAATTTGGACCTGCTTGACATTAGACATGCAGCTCGTCAAATTTAGTCAATGCCAAAGCATGCCGGAAAAAAGACTAAAAGGTTTCTTTGATTGAAGAAGTCAACCCGGTGCCTGGCACACTGACCCCTGGAATGACCTCGCCTCTGGTTAATGGCTCAACTTTTCGTCCAGCAAGTGTTCTAAATTTTATATACAGCTTGGTGACTTTAAACTTTATTTTAATTTTATGATTGTAATACTTATTTGTCACAATATGGCTAGTAAGAGCATTTTTAGAAAAATATGTTCGTCTTTAGCCAGACTGCTTTAGCTTTCATTCCAAGCTAATTAGAATGCGTATTGCCCGGTGTTAAGTGTTTTCTCTTATCCCGGGGAGTAAACACTTCGAAACGCATTTGTTTTTATTTGCGCGACACATACATATGTTAGAAGCTGCCGCAGAACAACTTATTAACAATTTGGGGAACATATATAACGCTTGTACTAAATGAATCACTGCCGGTATTTATACCTCTTTCTTACTTTTGGCTATTCTGTTAATTTTCCTTTGTTGAAATTCCAAGTTAAATTATTACTTCAGGATTTTTGCGGTAACATTTAATCGGCTCCCACGCTAAGCAATCAAAGATTCCACTTGAATCGATTTAATTAACTAGAGTCGTGGGCTAAGCGCAACGGAAATTCTAGAACGCTGATTGAGCCAATATACTAATTATAATGGATCACCCTGGGTTAAGCAAAAGCGTGCCTCAAATGTCCCAAACTCAAATGGGGCTGCCCACCCAAGTGCTGAAGGTTAAATCTGAGTTTGCTTGTACTGCTTTTTAATGGGCAGTTAGGGTCTATTAATCAAGAATCACGACCAGTTATTGTACGTCTCTTGGTTTCGCGGATAGGTGCATATCTATTGCCTTACTTGGTAGGAATTTAGCATTTAAATTTTACAAATTTGGCAACTTCCTACATTTAATTAATTAATTGTATAAAGCAATATTGATAATACATGTAATTATATAAGATAATTATTTCAATTAAATGTTGAATTTAAATGTTGAAATATCAGTTTTGTTTATTTTTTTTTAAAAACTTAGGCTTGATGACTTGCCACTTGTGAAGTAAAAAAAACTTAGTTAAACTCAAAAATTGTCTTGTTGGGCGAAGATAGTTATCATAAAGTGAAATATAATCGGTTTAAGTTTTAGCTTCTTTTTAATTAAAATTAGAAACGATTAAAAAACAAAAGAAAATTTTAAAAAATGTTATATATAGATTGCTATCCAACAGAAGAACACAATTCAGAAATCAATTATATACTAACTTTACAATCCTATCTGACTTTTACAGGTGGCGATGAACCTGTCGGAGCCCAGATTCCCTCGATGTTCCTAAACTTCATTGGCAGCGACATCGACTACCGCTACAACACGGAACCGGAGCGGATGGCCTGCCTGTCCTCGATGGAGCAGCGCTGCTACTGGCCACGTGGCAAGGTCCTCGGCGGCACTTCGGTGATGAACGGGATGATGTACATTCGAGGCAACCGCGAGGACTACGACGAGTGGGCAGCTCAGGGAAATCCCGGCTGGGCCTACAACGACGTGCTGCCGTTCTTCAAAAAGTCGGAGGATAACCTAGAACTGGATGATGTGGGCACTGAATATCACGCCAAGGGCGGCCTGTTGCCCGTGGGCAAGTTCCCGTATAACCCACCTTTGTCCTATGCCATTCTTAAGGCCGGCGAGGAGTTGGGCTTCTCTGTGCAGGATCTCAACGGTCAGAACTCTACCGGGTTTATGATTGCCCAGATGACAGCCCGTAATGGTATCAGATATAGCTCCGCTAGGGCTTTCCTGCGACCGGCTCGCATGCGCAACAACCTTCACATCCTGCTTAACACCACAGCGACCAAGATCCTGATCCATCCGCACACCAAGAATGTTTTGGGTGTGGAAGTGAGCGACCAATTCGGGAGCATGCGCAAAATCCTTGTGAAAAAGGAGGTGGTTTTGAGTGCTGGGGCTGTTAACTCTCCTCAGATCCTGCTTTTGAGTGGTGTGGGTCCCAAGGACGAGCTGCAGCAGGTGAATGTGAGGACGGTGCACAATCTTCCAGGCGTGGGAAAGAACCTGCAAAACCACGTGGCCTTCTTTACCAACTTTTTCATCGACGATGCGGACACGGCCCCACTTAACTGGGCTACGGCTATGGAGTACTTGCTGTTCCGGGACGGTCTAATGTCCGGCACTGGCATTTCGGATGTGACCGGAAAACTGGCAACTCGTTGGGCTGACAGGCCAGATCTTCCCGATCTCCAGCTCTACTTTGGCGGCTACCTGGCTAGTTGTGCCCGCACGGGACAGGTGGGCGAGTTGCTCTCCAACAACTCCCGGGCCATACAGATCTTCCCAGCAGTATTGAACCCCCGATCGCGGGGATTCATTGGCCTGCGCTCCGCAGATCCTCTAGACCCGCCGCGTATTGTCGCCAATTACCTGACCGACGAGCGAGATTTGAAGACCCTGGTGGAGGGCATCAAGTTCGCCATCCGGCTGTCGCAAACAACGCCGCTGAAGCAGTACGGCATGCGGCTGGACAAGACGGTGGTGAAGGGATGCGAGGCCCCTGCCTTTGGAAGCGATGCCTACTGGGAGTGCGCCGTGAGGCAGAATACGGGTCCGGAGAACCACCAGGCCGGCTCCTGCAAAATGGGTCCCAGCCACGATCCCATGGCAGTGGTCAATCACGAACTGCGCGTGCATGGCATTCGTGGACTCCGCGTCATGGACACCAGCATAATGCCGAAGGTCACTGCTGGCAACACGCATGCTCCTGCCGTGATGATAGCGGAGAAGGGGGCCTACCTGTTGAAGAGGGCCTGGGGCGCCAAGGTCTGACGCGTGGATGCGACGTGGACGTTGCATAGAGTAATTTAATCAGAACCCAAGCGAAAATTACTGCGAGTAAAAATTTAAGCGAAATTACACTTAAGGCACCTCAGATCCAAAACTAAACTTTTCTATATACTACCTTGGTATAATCTAATTTAATCCAATCCAATACGAAGGCTTCTCACTCTAGGCACACCGCGTTGCGCAATCTCCATTAATATTCAACATAAGTTAGCAAGCTACTTTTAAACTAACTACTCTGACCCACTGAATATGTAGTCGAACTTCTTTAACTGCACATTTAACTACAGTCTTCAATTAAAACACGATAAAATGCATAAACTTAATTTTGCATACATTAAAAATAGTTTCTTTTTTATTTTGGTGGTTTTCAATTAATCGTAAATTCTTTTACAAAATCGCAGACTTTGAATTTGGTTTAAATTACAAACATTTATGACAGTTTTAGTTAGATAAGTTTGACTACATAGGTTTCGTTCAATGTTCGTTTTGTAATGAACGTTGAGTTGACCATTTAAAAACTACACTTAACCTACGTAATTTATGGGGACCCACTGATCATGTAAATTTTGCATGTTGTTCGTGGGACTTTAAATTCACTATATTTAAACTAATTCTTGTGACCCATTGACAATGTAAATTTCGTTTATCGTTCATTTTGCAATTGCATCGTTGAATGATGTCCTATATTTCTGTATACGCGTATATGACATGTATTTATTGTTCGATTAAAGTGCAACAATTTAGTTTAACTGCCAAACGATCTCATGAATTTGACAACATTTAGCACACGATAACCAATCGTCAGTATATAAAAGAGACCAAAAAGCAACTCACTCAGCAGTCGGTCTTGCGAAATGTTTCTATATTTATTTCTGATCGAACTTTTGTCTGTGGCTTGGGTGACTACCCAGGATGTGGTGCCCGATGATCCGGAAGTGCAGATGCAAATGCATTCCATGTTTTACACGGCTCGTGTTGCCTGTGCGGACGAAAATATGATTCCGTATGGTAAGTGGAAGGTTGGTATAGATAGTCTCGGCTATTAGTATAGTGCTAAAATTATCTAAAATTGATCAATCTCTGAAAATATTAGTTTCTTTTGTGTAACGTTTATTTAAAGACAAATTAATTGGTAGTAAAATTTTGCAAATAATGCATCAAATTAATCTAACTGTGCATGGCATGATCAAAGCTATTTTATAAATTTATCAACAAAGTTTTGCTATAAAAGTGGAGCAACTAAAGCCCATCTAGCTTTTCGCTAGTTCAAAATGTGCTCCACGTTAGTTAAAACTTGTGTTGTCTTTGCTTCCCTAAGCTTGATTCTGAATTGTGCCAAGGGCCTGCAGGATCATGCCAAGGATAATGGCGATATTTTTATTATAAACTATGATAGCTTCGATGGCGACGTGGATGATATTTCCACTACTACACCAGCTCCTAGAGAATCTGACTATATAGATTTCGAAGAGGTTAATAAGAACTGTAATGCAAGTTTCATAACTTCGACTAGTGAGTGTTGGACGAAATTTAAAAAGGATAACGACGGTAATTAGTGATCTAATTTGTCATTTCTTTTAGCCAATGTATTACAGTTCAATAGCACTGGTGAATTGCCAGACGACAAGGATAAAGCAACCAGCATGGTATGTGGGGTTTGCTGATCCTTTTATTACCGATTCTCACGAATTCCTTACAGTGTTATTTCAACTGCTTTTTCGAAAAGTCCGGTTTGATGATGGATTACAAGCTAAATACGGATCTGGTGCGCAAATATATTTGGCCAGCCACTGGTGATTCCATTGAGGCTTGCGAGACCGAAGGCAGTGAGTGTTTTGAACAAATTGAATAGAATCAAAAACATTAATCTATCATCCCCAGAGGACGAGACGAATGTCTGCGTGCGGGGCTATGCCATCGTCAAGTGCGTCTTCATCAGAGCCCTCACGGATGCCAGGAACAAGCCCACCGTTTAAGTAACGACGAAGGTCTAAATCTTTGACTATTTAGTAGAAAATAATAATAATAGCGTTACAAATCATAACATTGTTACGGCCGCTGCACCTAGTTGACTATAAACCACAGGCACATGCAACTCCTCCGGTGTTTTTCTGCTATCACGTATCCTTGTTGCCATCGCCCGCTGTGTTTCTAGTTGAGTTGAGAAGACGGTTCAGCCGCTTGCCAATAGGTTTGGGGTATTGATTGTTTTTCATCAGAAATTCCTTGGACTGGTGCTCGACGGCTCCGTTGTCTAGTTGGAACCTGCAGAGCGCGTGCAGCGGGCGGACGAGCGTTTGCCGCAGCTCTGGCCGGGATTCGAGCACGGCTAGGCACTGGGCTGCGGTCTCCAGGGTACTGAGGCAGCCCTCCGTAGGCTGGGTGCGGATAATGTAGTCACTGATACCCACGGCGATGAGCTTTACCTGTCTCAGGCGGTGCAAAGCAGGACTACTGGCATAGATTGCCTTGGCCTGAGGCCAGGTGCCATCTATAAGCACCAGAGTGTAGGGACCGGAACTGCCGTCCACCTCCTCTAGCGGTACTGAGTCCCGGCTGGGATACAAGAGTAATGTCTGTGGAGAGTCTAGAATCCTCTGCAGTTCAGAGTGGTGTTTGTGGTTGGGGAAACGCTTGCCCTTGTACACGACACATTTTCCCGGTTCCAGGCCCAACTGGAGCATCAGGGCTGTGCGTAGGGATCTTTTCTCCTCGGCTGGATGCTGCAGTATCACTATCTGCGAAGCTACGGCCTCCGGCGGATGCGGCAAAGCGGGACACCAGCACACAACTACAGGCCGTCTGCGAAAGATTTCATTACAAGTCTTATGATTTCAGAGTGAGATTTTTTGTTTTACCACCCACTTGCACTGCTCGCACTTGTCACGTCTGTTGGGCGGATCGGCGCTGATACCCACGAGATCCCGCCAAGCTTCGTCCTCCATCCTTATAATTGATTATTAGTTTACTAAATGGAAAGTTCTGCGCAAGAAGAAATTCGCAATCAACGAACCATGTGCAACTAGGTGGCATCGCCGGCAGCCACATGGCAAACATACCAGCCTGTTCTTGGATCAGCTGTTGGGCGCGTAGAAAAGTCTGTGTTCATGCCGTGGCTTATTCGAGCTTATATATTTTTGTTTTTTCAATAACAGTTATACAGTTAATTGGAATTAACTTAATTTAGGAGGAATCAACAGTATGTATATTAAAGTAACTATTATCTTAAAGTGATTAAGCAAACTCCAGAAATCAACAAACGTATACACAATAATGGAACATCGTAAGCTTTCCCTCGCATAAACATTGCACTTCAGCTTTCTGTTTTCTATTTAGGTTTTGTATATGAATTAAACTAGTTTGTTAGTCTTAAAGTTATAAAGTCCGTAGCGTAACTAAAACAAAATGCAGAGTATAGGCTGGACGCTGATCATGAAACGCGGCTGCTTCTGCCGGAAGGAGACCCTGAACATCAACGGATCCCGCTACACAATCCGCGACAGACTAGCGACAGGGTTTGTACCATATAAATAAGTGTCACTATCTCCACCAGAATATCTAATCTCTTGGTGTCTGAGCAGGGGCTTCAGTCTGATCGACCTTGGGGAAAACGCCTCCACGCGACGGAGCTATGCGATAAAGCGCATCACCTGCCACAGCATCGACGACCAGAATATAGCGCTACGGGAAATCGAAAACTGCCGAAAAATCGACTCGGATAACGTCATCCGGGTGGTGGATTATGAGCTGAAGGGCCAGGCGGATATCGTCATCAACACAACGAGCACTTTGTACATCGTGCTGCCTTACTATAAGCACGGATCTCTTGCGGATCACCTGCAGCTACGGTCACGCAAACAGGACCACATGCCTGAGGCGCAGATCCTGCAGATCTTTCTGGGCGTCTGCGAGGGCTTAAAAGCAATCCACGAGGCAAAGCCTGTGCCACTGGCCCACCGTGATCTGAAAACGGCAAACATCTGTCTGTCGGACTCCTTTGAGCCCATTATTGTGGATCTCGGCTCCATGACGGAAGCTCGTCTACAAATTGTAGGCCAGACGGATGCCCAGCGGCTGCAGGATGAGGCCGAGGAGAGGAGCTCCATTGTTTATCGAGCTCCGGAGCTTTTTACCGTGAAAACTTACTGCACCATCGACGAGAGGTCGGATATTTGGGTAATATTTTAGTAAAGGGTGTCTCACTACTTTAATATTTGTATGTTCATATTTATTCCCATTAAAGAGTCTTGGTTGTGTGCTATATGCAATGTGCCACTTTAACTCACCCTACGATCCCATCTACGAGCGAGGCGACAGCGTGGCTTTGGCTGTGCTTAGCGGTAATGTTAACATTCCAGAGGATTCCATCTACACAGAGGCAAGAGAAAATAGCACTACCCTAAAATTATAGTTAAATCACAGTTTTTTTTCAGGACATGAACGATTTGATTAACTACATGCTTCGCACCGATCCCATGGAACGACCGTTCATCTTCAGTGTAATTGAACGTACCCACGATCTTATACAAAAGTTGGAGGGTCGGTTGTAGCTCCCACTTACTGGATTCCATTCCGTCTATACCCATTTTTACCAACCAGATACACTGTTTTTGATTATGTAAAATTGTAAAATAATTTAAAACCTGCAGAGATTTTGTGAAATTATGTGTAATTAATATTTGCTTTTTATTTGATGGGGCTAATGATCGTCTCGTGTGGGTCCTGGACAGTTGGTGCTTAGATCTTCGGCGTCTTCGTAATGCGTTCCGCACCAGTAGCAGAAGGAATAAGCGGTGCGCATGTAGCCTGTGAGGAGTCCTAGCTGCTCCGATGGAGTGAATGGTTCATCCTTGGATGTCTCATCCGCTTCCGGATCTTCTTCTTCGCTTCCTGTTTCATCTTCGTCTTTTGGTTTAGGTGGCCAAAAGAACTCCAGATCTGGTTCTGTAATACCGGATTTAAGATCCAAAGATTCGCAGGTTTGCTGACCCCGCTTTATGTCGTACTGGAGCTTGCGCTCTTCGGCTTTGTGGGTCGCTCTTTGTCTGTAAGCCTCAGTGCTGATTTCTTCACGGGATTCAATACCGGCCTTGCTAAGGAGATGGGCTCTACGTAATTCCTGCCGCTTAAGGGTCAACTCGGCCACGGCCGCATCGCGTCCTAGACCGCCGCGGCCGCTTTTTATGGTGATCCCCACGGGTTCGGTACGGGCATCAGGTTGTTTACCCAATCCAGATCCCGCTTTATAACCCATTTTGGCCAGCAGCTGAAAGCCCTTGTTTTCAGCGGAAAGCGGTGTGTTGAGCGACTGCTGCAGACGAGCATTGTCAATGTTTCCGGAGGTAGCTGTTGCTTCGCGTTGTCGCTTCTTAAAGTCCTCCTTTTTGGTATCGATTTCAATCTGGCGCTTCTTGCCGCGATTATGCACCAAGCTGGGACGCACATCCTGCAGGCTAATTGGAGCGCCAAGGTTGATTCGTTACATGGTGATGGTTCTGTTAGTTCCAATGGGTAATCTCACCCAGCTAGGAATTTGTCCGACATATAATCTTCCTCGTCGGCCATTTGTTTGTTTGCACTGCGCTTTGCAGTGTGGCTGTAGAAGGTGCAGCAAAAAATTCCACGATAACCTAACAATATAATATATAGCATATTTAAAAAATCTTTGTATTTTCAAGCTTAGTACTCAGATCGAAAAGCGAGTTCGCTAGCGGAAAAACTTGAATCTTTACAGAGCGACTGCATTTTCGAGAGTTCATCAGAATTAGAATAAGCGTGCTATGGTCGTACAAAATCGTATTTGCGGGAAAAAGCTTTTAAAAGATATTATCAACTACCTTAGCAAGACAAGTCTGCCGCTGTACAAAGAAATTAAAAAAAAAAACAATTTAAATTTAACTACAGACTTTTTTTTTAATTTACTGATAATTGTTTGCCAATTTAAAGTTCAAAGCTGCCATCAGTTCTAACAGGCGATTTTTCTAAGTTTTTTATTGTGTTTGCTGACGAAAAGTGTACATCAGCTGTTTGCCTGTCGCTCTCTCTCATGACTGACGAGAAGTTTTCGTCAATCTGAGTACAAGGCGTTATTAAAAAAGTATTAAATAATTTGACAAATATAAGATACGAAAAAACATATTTATTATAAAATTATATCACAATAACCTAACGCTATAAAATACACTATATAAAAATATAAATTCAAGATAATCACTATTCAATATGGATTAAATAATTTGACTTATATATAAAATAAGAAAACACATATTTATTTATTTATAAAAGGCTAGCTTAAGATTTCAAACTATAAAGTAACTAGTAACTAGAAGCATCTAGAATGACAGTATTTTAAGTGTAAAAGTAAATAATTTTTAATTTTTGAAAAAAATTAAATGATTATCGCAGGTGACTAATACGTGGTCGATTCTAACTATGAGGTTTTACATAATCGGCAAATATTTGGCCGAGACAATAACATGTTAACATATTATTGTATCATGGGCGAGACCTGTCCATGAAATAAGGTCCTAGTCGAATTCGCCCTGTTGTCTGTTGTCTCTGTCTTTTATAGCTGTCGAAGGAATCTCGTCGAGCTGAGTACTAGGCTTTAGTCTCGTCTTCAGGGCCGTCGAGAACCACACCGGGGCCCGGGGCACGGGCTCTTTTATCTTATTTGAATTATACAGAAGTGTTATACATCAGAAGCTAAATGAGTTTAGTCACAGAACAATAGTGGACTTTTTGATTTAAATTTTTCTTTCTCAATTTTTCTTAACATCTAAATTAAAAAAAAAAATTCTCGTTGCCGGGCACCTGACCAATGAGGGCCCTGGGAAAATGACCAGGCTGCCCCCCCTCTCATCGGACCTGCTCCTCTTGCCAAGGTACCTATGAATATCCTCTTTTCCTGCAGATAAGTTTTTAAATTTGCTTGTCAACAAACCCAGCTGATTGACCGTAAGACCATAGCACACTTAGTTCTGATGAACTCTCAGCTCCGACATTATTAAATTTGTCTGCCTTAAAAATGGGAAGTTTTTATTTTTATAATGGTTTTAAACTAGAGTTTCGCCCTAGAGTTTCAAGCAAAATTATCATCTCTTTGTAAATTGATTTTTTAGCTTCTATGTTCAGTTTTGTTCTTTACTTGCAAAAAAAATATTGTTATACCCTTGCAGATGGTATTATAATTTTGGTCAAAAGTGTGCAACGCAGTGAAGGAGAAATCTCCGACCCTATAAAGTATATATATTCTTGATCAGGATCACCTCCTGAGTTGATATAAGCATGTCCGTCTGTCCGTCTGTCTGTTTCTACGCGAACTAGTCTCTCAGTTTTAAAGATATCGAATTAAAACTTTCCACGCACTCTTCTTTCCTTTGCACGCAGTATATAAGTCGGAACGGCCGGGATCGGCCGACTATACCTACCAAACTTCATAAGGATCGGCCGACTATATCCTATAGCCGCCATATAACTGATTGATCGGAAATGTCATAACTTTGGTGGTTTTAAAGTTAGGAAGTTGGGACTTTTTATGAGTATTAAGAATGCATCATATGAATAATTTTGGAGAATATAATTTACAGAATATTCTGCAAGGGTATATCAACTTCGGCTCCGCCCGAAGTTAGCTTTCCTTTCTTGTTTTTTTGTTGGGGTTATGTGTTTTAAAATCATTGTTTTCCTTGTTCTCTGCTCTATTTTAGTCCGAATAAATTTTTAAAAAGACTTTAATGCCCTCTTCCCACAGAGCTCCATCCACCATCCACCATCCGTTGAACGGATGGTCCATAAGGTTTTGCCGTTCCGAAAATTCACATCCAAATTTGACGGACTTTTTTATGCGATAGTTAGGCGATGTTTTCTTGGTGCAACTCTGAGTTCTTCTTCTTGACAGTGGAAATTGGAACATTCACTACGAAAATTAAAAAAAATAAAGGCGGGTAACTTTTGAACAGGAAGGCGCCAATTCAAAAAATGCTGTTTATACTTGTAATAATTAATTAATTAGTGCTCCATCCGTGTGGCAGCATTAGTTGTTGCTCCACTCTTTCCTAGGCGCATACCTTACTCACAACATTGAGCAGAACATTTAAAATTAAATAAAATATGAAATTATAATAAAACAAAAAACAAACATTTATATATAATGAACTTGATTTGTTACCATTTAGACAATATTGGGCAATAGCTGTTCATATTTTGTCTGCAGGCTGGCAAAAATCTGCAGACGTATTAGTTCGTTTTGAATGTTCGCGTAGATCACTTGCAGTCTGTTACCAAGTACCATTTATAACGCTGTTGTGGTCATTTTACATTTTGTACAAAATGGAACGGGCTAAAATGATGAGCCACAGCTGTTCAGATCAGCTGTTATCGGATGGTGGATGTGCTCTGTGGAAAACGGAGTTTCACATTTGTCAAAAATCCCAACCGTTTCGAACGTATGGACTCTATGGGAAGATGGCATTACAATAGTTATATGCAACACGTCACTACGATCTGAGAAGGTAACTTTGAGCGTTTAAAAAAATATTTTTTAATAGTTTTGTTTGTTTGTTAAGCAGGAATTGCACGTGTATATATTTTTGATACCATTTTTAGTTCTCTCTGGGTTAAACTCTTTACCAATTCGCCAATTATAGTGGATTAATAATCATCACATTCCAAACATTCCATTTGCTAATTTTTCGTTTTGATTACTTCCCGTAAGCCGATCAGCATCTTTTGCAAAGTTGCTACCTGTGTAAATGAGTTGCAACAACTCATTGAAGCGCCCGTCGAACATCACTTAATGAATTTCAGTATTTATTTAGACCACACATAACAAAAATATACTGGAAAAATACCAGTAAAAAAAAAGAAGTTGCCATGACTTATCCAGCTGTTGCTCTGCACTGGCAAGTGGACAGTTGCCTTAGCTTCCCATGTGCTCGGCAAATTCAGAAGTCAACATTAAAGAAATTTAAATAAAAAGTCTTTGAAATTGGCACAATGGGAACGGTAAGTAACTTTTTCAACTCTAAACTCCACCACCTATAAATTAAATTGTCTTTAGAAAAAGGTGAAAATCAGCTCGGTGAAGCGGGCCGCTCACCTGAAGTCGAAGAAAACACCGCTGACCAAGCAGCAACAACAAAAGCAGAAACAGAAGCGGGACCAACTTACTTCCAAACGAGAACAGGGCCAGAATATATTTTCTCAAAAGGCAAGAAAACGGGACAATTTGGCCCAGCGCAAAAAGCACAACAAATTGGTCTCCCTGGGACTGGATCCGCTAGAGGACAATGAGGAGGACGATGATGAGGTGTTGGATAACATTGCAGACATGCTGGATGGCGATGATCTTGCTCTGTTACAGGCCAATAAACGGAAGCGAAAGGCAAAAACGGCCGGCGAGGAAGACCCTGAACAGGGGCAATCAATCGGCTTAGAAAGGGCCTACGCCTCGGACACTAAAAAAGAGCAGGCAGCGCAGAAAATTAAGCTGGATCTGCTGCCTATCAAGTCCAGAGATGGTCAGATAATAACCCGCACCACTGAGGTCGATTACCTGCCAAAGCCCAAGCAGAAAAAGAAGAATGAAGAGGAAAAGGAGACAGATTCCGAGGAAGATGAAGATGGTGAAACGGAGTACGAGGACAGCGACGACGATGTGGTCAACGATGTCGAGGCGCCGTCTGCCGTACCCGTCCAAAAACTCATCTCCACCACAGATCTGCTGATTGCCCGCCAGCAAGAGATCGAACGCCAGAAGTATCGCATTGGAATAATTTGCTCCGGGCTTCTCGAGAAGCCAGAGGATAAGATGCGCAACTTCCATGCCTTGTACGAACTAATGGACGAAGTGAACCCAGCCTCCAAACAAGCGAACCTGATGTCGGTCAGAAAACTGGCTATAATCTCTGTAACCGAGATCTTCAAGGACATTCTGCCCGAGTATCGAGTGGGTCAGGTTGATACCAAGATGCAAACGTTGCGGAAGGCCACCCTTGATCGTGTGACCTTTGAAAATGCCCTACTTCAGCAGTTCAAGAAGTTCTTGCAGAAGCTGGAGCAGATAACGGCGCAAGTGAACAGAAGAGGTGGGCTAAGGACGCCTCAGACCATCAAGCTGGCCACCGTTGCAGTGCAGTGCATGTGTGATCTACTGGTGGCGCATCCCTACTTTAACTACGTCCAGAACATTGCACAGTTGCTGGTGTACATGCTGAACAGCAACTACCAAGATATGAGAACGGCAGTCAATCAGTGCTTCCGCTCAGTCTTCGCCAACGACAAGCGTTTGGAGATGACCCTCTTCATAGTCCGGCGCATCAACCATTTGATTAAAACAAAGCAAAACAATGTCCATGTCGAATGCATCACCTGCCTGATGGGTCTCAAGATAAAAAGCGTAAACCTGGACGCGGAGAAGGAGAATGAGCTAAAGCAAAAAAAACTGGAGTCGCATCGTCAACGGTTGCTAAGCTTGTCAAAGAAAGAGCGGAAAAGGCGGAAGAAGCTCACTGAGGTTAATAGAGAGCTGGAGGAGACCCGTGCTGAGGAGAACAAGCAGGACAAGCACCAGAAACTTACTGAGATCATCAAGATGGTGTTTACCATCTATTTCCGCGTTCTAAAGAACGATCCCACATCGCGCGTGCTTAGCGCCATTCTAGAGGGTTTGGCTGAGTAAGTAAATCAAAACACATCGTTAACAACCACTCTAAATTATTAATATATTTAAGATTTGCGCATGTCATCAATCTGGACTTTTTCGCCGATCTAATCGATGTGCTCAACCGAATTTTGGAAGATCAAGACGAACTAGGTTATCGAGAGCGTCTCCACTGCGTTCAGACCATTTTTGTGATTCTTTCTGGCCAGGGGGAGGTGCTTAACATCGATCCCATCCGATTCTATCAGCATTTTTATCAGAATATGCTGGCCGTTCAGGCGGGAAAAAATCACGAAGACTTCACCATTATTCTGCGAACCTTGGATGAGGTGCTCGTGAAGCGACGTAGAAATATGAGCCAGCAGCGTCTAATGGCCTTCGTGAAACGGTTACTCACTGGAAGTCTGCATTTGCTTCATAACGGCACCCTAGCAACCCTGGGTACCATCAAACAGACCTTCCAGCTCACCTCTGTGCTTGACAATCTATTGGATACGGATACTACAATAGGTTCAGGTCGCTACGACCCTGAATTGCAAGATCCCGAGTACTGTAATGCAGCCAGCACGTCGCTTTATGAGCTTGCCCTTTTGGCACGGCACTATCATCCTACGGTACGACGCATGGCTGTTCACATTGCTAACGGAGTGCCAGCCTCCGGCGAAGGAGCGCTGCCCACGGAGATCGGCAAGCTGTAAGTAATAATATATTTGTTAAATGTGTGATTCTTATAAATTATGCATTGTTTCAGATCCTCCCATGATTTGTTCACGCAATACGACAGCACACAGATGGCTTTCAATCCGACGATACCACTTCCAAAAGCCGGACAACCGAAACTGAAAAGAGGCAAACAATTGTATATACGATCGGACTTTAAGCAGGAGTACGGAAAACTGCTACAAAACTCGAAAGTTCCGCACGCAAATGATAAGCGTGCATTACAAGTTGATTTTCTTAGTGCACTTCAATAAAGGACATATTGGAGATGAAATTCAAACACAAATTATTACTGAATATTTTATGAAGGTTACGTTAGATTGATGCTCAAACTACACTTGCAAATATAACTCAGACTTTCAGATAAATCCCAAATTAGACTAAAACAAAATGGTGCGTTTTCATACATTAGCTAGCGCCAAATAATCATTATGCACTTCCTCCAGTATAATTCCATTTTCTATTAATCTGGCATTAACGACTGATGGCTGTTTCCAAGCATAAAAATATGAATTCCTTTATAAACAGGTTCTTTCAAGTATATTTCAATGCAAGGATTTTAAAACTATTTATAAAGACCTATGTTTGGAGCTCCTAACATTCTATAAAGAGGTTAAGTCTAGGGTCGCTAAGTCTAGTGCCAAATAGCCGGGTACAGGAGCCAGGAGTTAGCCAGTGTTCGATAACTATGCGGTGGGGCCTCCGCGTTGCCTTTGTTGCCCAACGCTGGCCGGTGGTAGATACTCTCGGTTTCCGCCTCCCACCAACTGAGATTGGGGCTGCTGGCCGAAGCCAGATACCACATTCTCGGGAAGAGCACCTGCAGCGGTGGCCAGAAGTCCGACGGCAGCTCCAGACGGCGGCAACCGATTGACTCCGGAACTCGGGACGATGGCGGGACGAAGAACGGCTCCTGCGCCATACGGGCTCTGACTCTGGCCGGCTGGTGTGGGCGTGGCGGAAGAATAGGAACCTCGGCCGGAATTATAGCCTGCCACTTGTGGCACTCCAGTAGTCCGAAGGGTTCCGGCCGTGGCAACAGGTGCTCCAAATGCTGTCGTGGAAGCTGCGGCCGGACGATACGGATTGTTCGCATTGGACGTTCCCAGATTGGAGCCACTTCCGGCAGAGTAGTCGTAGATATACGCATTATTCGCATATAAGCTGGGTGCCGAGACGCAGTCATATTGGTTCCACCACACGCAGACCAGTGTCTCCTGGCTGAAAACCGTGCCGTTGGGGCATAGGAAGGAGTACGTCCGGTTGAGGGCACAGATGTGAAACACCTGGCATTGAGCCTCGATATCCGCATAGTATCCGGGCAAGGGCTGTTGTGCACAGTCGAAGTTGGTGCGCGGCACCTGGGCGTATACGGGATAATCCACTCCGGCCACACCCGGAATGGCCGAGTAGTCGCCTTCGGAATCGTTGTAGTCACCACTGTCTCCAGTTCCACTCGGAACCCGAATGGCAGAGCCCCCTGGAGTACTCCCGTACTGGGAAGTTTGCGGTCCATAAGGTCCACTGCGGGATGATGGGGTGGGTATTCCGCCAGGTGAAGGTCTCCTCGGCTGACTGACCGTGTTACTGGCTCCCACAATGGCAGGAGCTCCAAAAGCAGTGGTTGCCTGACCACTGGGAGTGAATCCAACGGCGGGCGAGGGAAACAATCCGGCCCCGTACGCAGTGGGAGCCGGAGCTGGGGTCAGTGGAATGGCTGCGGCCGTGGGATAAGGACCAGTACTCAAGCGACCTCCAGCGGTGGCTCCGCCCACATTGGCCACCTCGGGACGCCCATAGTTGTACCCACTTTGAGCCTGCCAAAAAATGTTTTAAAAACCATTTGGGAACGGTGAATTTCAGAGGCACCTTCAGCACTCACCTGGACCTGCAACTGGGCCAAGCCACCGCTCCAGAGCAGCACCAGTACTGGAATAAATAGACGGCCCAACATTAACGCTTTCTAATCGTTTGTTGAATCAGGCGAAGATCTGCTCTGAGCTGTGGAACTGCCGACGCACCAAATGGAAATGAACGACCAGCCAGCCATCGATGGCGATGGCAGCGCAGAGTTTCGCAGCCCATATTAAGGCCAAGTACGTCGCGATTCTGGGCGCTGATAGCGCGGCTTAGACGGTTCTGCACCGCGATCTTTATTTATCAGCTTCCTACTCCTACACAGGTGGCACAGTGGGGTCATATCTTAGCTAAGGTACTTAATTTACCAAGCCTTTCGCCTTTAATTAAATTGAATGGGTATAGTATACCCAAAAAATGAAATCATACGAATATTTCATCATCAAATTAATAAAGGATATTTTGCAACTGGAAAGATCAATTAAATCAAAACTTGTCAAATAATATTTTTTAGTTAAAAATATTAAATAATGAAGATTAAAGGTATTTTATCTTAATTTTAAATGGCTATTATGTATGTATATATATTTTCAGTAAATCTATTTACTATTTAAATCTTCATTAATTTAATTTAATTTCAGTTACATGCATCAACAACAAAAGAATGTTAATAATGCAGTAATGATTTTGTGTCCTCATATTCTATGCAAACCACGAGAGAAAAAGCTAAGCTTCTTAAGTTTTGTGTGATTTAAAATTCTGTTCCTTAAACAATTTCATCAGTAAGTGCATTTCCTACTGTCTTGAACCCTTAACTACTGAAGTTCCACTGTGCCAATTGCAAAAATACCGCACCGCAACATCAATTGGCTGCCAAGAATTGCGGCAGTCGGTGGGCCAACGGCAAGACGCATGCCTCGTAAATATGCAAGGCAGCAAAAACTTAGACAGACAGACGCCCCTCCAAAGGAAGTGCTAATAATGATGAGGCGGACAGCCGATCGCTCGTCACTGTTGAGTTACGCGCCGTAGTGGGTTGGGTCTGGGTCAGCGCCGACTTGTTGGCCAACTCACCTGCCAAAACGCACTGGCAGCGTTGCAGGGGCACTTGCACCATGCTGGAGATGATTCCGAGCTTATGAGTTTATCCTAGTCAAATACGGTGTTAATCCTTTTCGCGCGACGACCTGTGAACTGTCCAAAACTTGAGAGGCAACTGCAAGCCAACCTAGAACGCTGTTACAAATTTATACCAATTTCAAACCCGACTTGGATGCGGCATCTTTGCCATATTTATGTGGCAGCTGCCCCAAAGACCGACGACAATTCGTCAGTTCGTTTGTGCTTGCGCTTTACCAGATTTACGACGCTGGATTATCCATTGTTTGGTTCTGCGGCCAGTTATCAGAATTCATATATCACCGAGACCCTACATGACGTATACGTAATATAAGTTACGTGTACAATCAATTCAATATTATGGCCTTTTCAAGTGCATACGACTTCAATTTGATTCGACTTGTCCTTGAGTGCGGCGAATTAGATTCTCTTGCAAATGCATTAAGCAATGACAAAAATATTTAAATTTCGCCTGATTATATGATCGTTGCATGACTTTGGCTCGGCTCGACCTTAGCAAAGATTTATATTAGAGCTGGAAAACGCAACAGCCATTGGATTTGTGTCAAGGCGTATGATGGGATCTTGGGACTGCCACGGTTAAATTATTTGAGACCCCAACTAATGTAGTAATGATTTAATCAGTTTGCCAACCAATTTCCATTCATCAACCATTTGGATCCCGTCTAAAACAGCATTTCGGTTAATCTTCTTTATATACTTTTATATGTACTTTATTAAGTTTAAATAAATATTTACAAACAGACAGCAAGACGTACAGATTGTTCAAATAGATCGCTCCTACTGGATACTGAATGGAAAGTGTTCTCGTTCATTAAGACTAAGCAGTAAGAAACTAATTTAATACAACTCTCGATTAAACTTAAACGGAAACGTCTTGGCTGGGCATCAGGAACAACCAAGTCTATGCCTGTTTCGGGCGTGGGAGTATTTCAGGGCTCTCATCTTCGAGTATTTCGATTACATATTTACAAACTAATTGCGCAAATTGCATTGGCTAAACGAAGTCAATTAACAAGTAACTGGTTCAAATATATAAATCATAAGGAAGGAAGGTTTTAAATGGTAGAAAATAAAACTGAACTGAAGAGAAGGGAATGGAGTTGACTAAAGTTAGGCATTAACTCGCAAGGTCTAGGAACCGCCACCGCCCTCGCTCTACCGCCTGCTGCTAAACTTGGACGCTAGCGAATATAATGACTTGAGCAGCTCCAGGGCCCGCCGATCCGAGTTGACCTCCAGCAAAGGAGCCGTCGTCGTCGTGGTCTCCTCCAGATCCTCGACGCGTATCTCGAACTTGGTTGTCTCCTCGTAGCTGCCCGCCCCCAATCCTGTCGTGGTGGGCACATCCGTAGTCGTCGTGTAGCCCGGAGTAGTACTGGTAAAGTACTCGACTCCTGCAGCGCCACCTCGTCGGAATGTGGTTACTGGGATGCGGTTGGTAGTGGTGGTCAGCCTCTGCCTGGAGGTCTTTCCTCCAGCCGGCGTCTTGCTATCGATATCGATGAGTGCGTTCAGCAGGTGCTTCCTGCTCCTTTCCAGCGCCTTGCCATTGTGGTCATCACAGGTCTGGATAAGCAGCAGCAGCAGACTGAGCACCTGGCGATCGTGCTCCGCCTTGGCCATCACGTTGCGGAGGTGCAGGGCCTCCTGTTCGTTGAGACCGCCAAACAACTTGTTGGCAATCCTCTGGAGACCACTACTGGAGGGCAGAGCATCCCTAGGAATGTCGTAGCTCCGGAAGATGTCCTCCCACTCGTAACGAGGGGGCGTGTTTGTGGTCACCCTGAAGGCAAACGGAGAAGCTGTTGTGGATGTCGAGGTCGTGGTACTGGTCGTAGAAGTCCTCTGCATCAGACCGTCGTTGATAGTCAGAGGATCCAGGAAGTCGGTCTGCGATTTCAGTGCCCACGGGTGCTCAGTGGGCTTGTGGGTAGTAACTAGTTTCTGGGGCCTAGCATCCTTGAGCAGATCGTTGCGAGACTTTACGAACGATTGCGTTTGCTGTTGCTGCAGAAACTCCTCGCCAGAGTCCTGACTTGGAGGCGAAAGTTCCCCGGAGAACTCCAACTCCTGTCCGCGAATTGTGCTACCTTCGTACACCTCGGTGGTGGTAGTGTAGTCTGGAGCTGGGGTCGAATCGAATTTGTGGTTGATCTCCGCTGCAATGCTATTGGGCGTGGGCGTTGTAGCCTCGGGTAATCCCTTAGTGGGCAGATAGTACTTGGCTGTTCCATCGCTGAAAAGAGAGGGATCCGTGGTAGTGACGGGTCTGAAGTTAGGTGTACTTGGAGGTTCAGTGGGACGAGCTCGCGCAGCCAACTCTGCACGGAAAGTAGCTGGGTTGTCGAGGTAACTGGAGAGAGCATTGGAGAAGATTTGGGCGATCTTACGAGACTCTGGTTTCTCCGCCAGGGCACCAACAGTGGATCCCGTGCTTCCAATCTGTGGGAACTGCTGGTACTTCGAGCCAGGTTCGGGTTGAGTTTCATTGGGCTGATTAGAGAGTAGTCCTGAGCTAATGTCGCCCTCTCCAGCACCGCGACCTTGTGCAGGTTTAAGGCCAAAGAGGTTGCTGTATTTCTTCACGGTAGTATCACTTAGCAGACTCTTTTTGATGTCATCCGCATTATCACTAATGGCTGGGGGATTCTCGGAAGTGGTCAGCAACGCAGTGGTGTCCGATGGCTTTATAGTGGGCAGTGGGGGTGGCTTTACAGATAGTTTGGTCTTCACACCAGTCTTGTCTGGCTTTTCCGACTTCTCTGGCTTGCCCAGTGCATTTGCGGTTTCATTATGTTCCTGTGCAAAGTACTTGGCAAAAGATACAAGTGCATCTGGTCCTGACGAAGGTGGAATCTCCAGGCCAACTCTAGCGGGAGCTGCCGCTGCAGCATTTAACTCCACGTCTTCAAACTGATCTTTCAGAAGGTTCATTGTCTTCAGCATTTCCTGCACATTGCGGTAGACAGATTCATCCTTCACGGGATTCGGGGCGAAGAGTAGAACATCTTCTCCAGCTGCAGCTGCCGCATTTCCCCTTGGCGGCTTTCCACTCTTGGGCAGATAGGTTGGTCCGCTGCTGGTGGCCGATGTAGACGGTGTGGTTGGCAGATAATCGCGACTATCAGAGGGCTTTGCTGGGGCTCGGAATTCCCCGGAGCTGGCCACATCGTAGTGGTGCCTCATGCCAATAATAACAGGTTTGAAAGTGCTGTCTAGTTCGATACTGGCACTGGTGGGTCTAACCTTGGGTGCCACAGAGGATTCAAGGAAAATACCAGAGCTGGCGCCGCCAAATCTATGGGGATTGGGTGTCGTAGCCACATGACCACCCTTGATGTGGTTGAGCTGTCCGTCGGTGCTCTTCGACTTCACCAAACTGGGAATAGTGGGAGTGTAGAAAGGCGTGGTTTTGCTGGGTTCCAGGCGGCGCACTGTGGAATGGCTTCCGGTGGAGTAGTGGGGCGTGGTTTGTGGCACAGATCGGGTGGAATGAGCCTCGAAGAACTCGGGCTTTTCCTTGGGTTGGCTGGGAGCCGTCTTCTCCTTCTCCTTCTCCTTGCTGTGCTCCTCGCTGCCACTGTAGCGATGCTGTCCTCTCTGGCCGTTCCGAGCTCTTTCGGTGGAGACACCTCGTTCTTGGGAGGCCACTGGTGTCCTGTTACGGGCGGGTTTCAGGACAGTTGTGTCGTCGTTACTGTTGCGATTTGGGCTACTGTCCTTGTTGGTTCTTCGCTTGCCGGATCCGCTGACAAATGAGGAGCTTTCGGCAGTGATCTGAGTCTCATGGTCGTTACTATTGCTGTCGATGCTGGGGAGAACCTTTCGCTGCTTCTCGCCAGACACATCATCAAAGTCCACACTCTCCACCGAGGCAGGAACATCCTCCGTGGAATCTATACGTCTATCGGAATTGGCCCGTGGGCCAGACCTTGCCTGACCAGCGACAGGAGTAACCTTTGGCTTGATGTTCAGCCCCCCACCCACTATATTGAATCCCTGAACGGGAACAGAGGGACGCACGCGATGCACCCGCTGCTTGTTGAGGATCTCGGCACTCTCTGCATAGTAACCCGATGATCCTAGGCAGTTGACCTTGAACCACCAGTCGCAGGTGAGCTCGCTCTGCTGGAAGATCGTTCCGTTGGGGCAGAGGAAGGAGATCTTACGGCCCTCCTCGCAGATATGAAAGACCTTTGGGAGAAAAGAACGTTAGTTAAATTTTCAATTCAGATTCAACAAATCATTGTCTTACCTGACAATCTGTTTCCATATCGGCGAAGTAGCCGTTGCCATATGAACGACAGCTGAACGATGTCTTGGGAATCCGTGGGTAGATGGGGAAGTCGATGCCCGGCCGCCCCACCACGCCCTGGTACACCTCATAGTCCACATCCTCATCAGAAGCACGCTTTTTTAAGTGGTGCTTATGTTCGTTGCAGTTCGTATGTGCCTCATAGCGTTCCTCTTCGAATTGGGTAGCGCCCGTTTGCTTGGCCAATATCCGGGCGGGAGTGCGATACTATATAGAAGAAGGAAAAAATATACTCTAAGTATATATTGAGCTTGATTCAGGCTTACCTTTGAATCTGCGCTCGTGAAGTCAACGAATACCAGTAGGAGAAATGCTGCAATGGTGAATTGGAAAGATGTATCAAGTAAAGCGTTATTAATCCACACATCTTTTAAATAATTTTTTTTAGATTTTGTGATTTTGATAACTATTTAACTGAACTTTAATATAATTATCTAAGAATATTTTAATTGTTTTTTTATATGAAACTTTAAAACAGTTTATAAAATGATTAGTTTATTATACCTGTCTAACGTTAGATAATAGATAATTATATAGTGTTTAAATTTAAGCGGGAAGATGCACGCTTGTTTAAGGTTTAATTCGAATTATTTTAATGAATCTTCTCGTGCTACACCGCGTGTATTTTCTTTGCGAATAGTTTGGTTAACGATTTTTCTGGCGTTCTATAGCGACGCCTGGTTCATCGACTTTTCAGGTTTGGATTCTCCTTCGCCGATTAGAATGTCTTCTTGATTGCGAGCCCGCAGACCTTGACTTTTCCATTCAACTTGGCCGGTAGACATTGCCAAATTACGCAAGACCCGACTACTGGGACTGGCTGGAAGTGACTGACCCCAGACCAAAACCCCTCCAAATGCAATAATTAAATTTTAAAGCATAAAAACAATTAAAGAAAGAAACAGAAATAAAAAAGTCATGATGAACTGCGGCTTAAGTGGCGGCCGACAGAGGAAGATGTCAGCCACAGAAGGCGCACCACGAGGGTTATTGAATAACCAAAATAGCCACAAGATTCAAGGCCCAGTTGCTGCATAATCACTGCGATTAAGTGAATCATCGAAGAAGACCCGCTGATGATTTCGTCGCGGGTGTTGCTGCCTTATTCAAATTAAACAATTGCCCATAATTTGTGCGAGCTGATTGGCAAGCGGGCTCAAATTTGAACGGCCGGCTCATCAAGCATACACCACGTTGTACTCGCATTAATTTCGGATCTGTCGTTTCATTACGTTTGCTTTTTCGATCGGGTTCGTGCCCCTCACAGCGGGATGGTCTGCCAACTTAATTGAGAGGTGCTGTCGATGGGCGCGTAATTACTCAAAGACGGCCCAGAGAAGATTGCTGGCCATTGTTGGTTTTATTCGCCCGCGAGATGAGCTGTCACTTATGCCCCCTTGGCATCTGGGTCTCGGCCAACACGCCCGTCCTAATGAGCCGTTAAAAATTGCATTTCCCAGGCGCTCGGCCGGCCTGGCCAATCCATTAATTCAAATCAAAGTCACATTTAATCTGAATCCGAATCTGAACTATGTTTCGGCCCCCTTTTTGTCGCACGCCAGTCAGCCTAATAACAAAAACGAAGAGGGCTCACGCAACTGGCTAAGACAAAGGCGCATTAACGCAATCTTGGCCGCTTTGCCGCCCACGCTTTGCGGCACACGCATAGCCATCAACCGTTAGCCGGTGATCTATGATGGGAAAATTATGAGTCGACAAGGTCAAGGATGTTGTCAGTTCGAAGAATGCCTTTTTTGTCCAAATATTTATTTATGTTTTCTTTTAAATATGAATAGAATAGACCGCATAAAAACTATGTTATGATGCTTATTACCGACAAATGCATAATTTGCGCAATTTAGCAGGAGGTGAATTCAAGTAGAAATAAAAACACCAAATAACACAAATACGTAATTATTCATACACATTTAAACATATTTGGTAGTTCAAAGTGGCTCAACTTAAAAGAAAAGGATTTCCAAATTAAAATGACAGTGATAACATTTGAATTTATTTTTTTGACTAATCCGATCTCTGCAATATGTATACAATTTCTGCATATAACCTTTTGAACTTATCAACTTACCGCACAACAAGTTGAGCTGCGTACACCGCATTTTGTATTTGGAGTTGCCTGAAAGATGGAGGGAAGAAAATAAACAAATCTTTAGTTAGTTAACAAAATTATGAATATTTATCGAAATTTGTCGAAAACACGTACACACCGCAAGGCGCCTTATTGGGTAATAGAAATTATACGAAAACAACGGCAGAAATAACAAATGTACTCTTGGCGGGGAAGAGTTGTCAATGTGCCGAAGAAGACAAACAAAGCGCAGCAGGCTCTCAGTAATTACATAACTAGACGCCCACAAACGCATGCAGAAATTAAAGGCAGTTCGTCAGATATATCTGCTCGCCATATAGAGATATTCAGAAACGCAGATAGTAGTCAGATATGCAGATTGGCAGTCTGCATTTGGGGCCGTGTGCATTGTGCCACAGGGTGGATGGGCCATAAATTATTACATTTAGGCTGGCCCAACCAAAAGCCGAATCGGCTGCCCAGGAACAGCTGTCAGGCGCCGAGCAGGAGTTGTTCAGTCAGTGGGCAGTCAGTCAATCCCTCAAGACATTCACTCGGTATCGTTCGCTTCCGTCAGCTCATTTTTGCAGCTGTTGTCGCTGCTGGCGCTGTTCCCGTAGTTTCTGCGTACTTTGCATAATTTCAAATAATTGTTTTAATTTGCACAACAGCAAACAATATCAAAACTTGGGGGAACGGAGACACCAGCATAAACAAGAGAGATCAACACCAACCGGCTTGCCAGGCGACACTCTTTCAATTAAATCATTTTCAATGGTTTGGGTAACTTGGCCGCCGTCGAGACAATAGATTTGTTTTCTTTACGTAACGCCGGTGTTTTCAATAACAATGCAAATCGAACAGAATCTCGATATTTCATTAGAAGCGAACATAAGTTTAAATTGAAATTAGCTGCAGCTACTCAAGACGGCGAAGATTCTGCTTTTATGCATTGTCTGCTGGGTTCTTCGGTTGCCGAAATTGCTTTTTGTATTTAAATTAGTTGATCGCCTTGGCGGGGTTCTGGTCTCAGTGGCTGTTTGCATAAAATATTCTCACACCTAAATTTAATTTCGTCAAAATAACGAAATACACAAAATTAAATTGCTCCAGCGTCTTTGGTAATAGGCATGTACAAGGCTTGACATTAAAATTTAATAAAAATTGTAAATTAAGTCGATTAGCCAAGCGATCAGTTAAAGTTCAAGAGTTGCACTGTCTTGTCTGCAAAAATTTTAATTTCAATTCACGATTCTCGATATGCAATTACACGAATCAAGAGTTTGTCATTGTCAAGGCTTTGCCCAAACGAATTGAATTGCCTTAAATGGCGATTCGTCTTGCGAAGGTCAAATCGGATTGGATCATTTAAGAATATATATAATGGACGTTTTTATAAATTGCCATTAATAAAAAAGCTGCATCAATGAATTCTTCTCCTTCGTCAAGCACTTCCTTTTATTGTATTCATTGGATGGTATTAATCAAATTGTTTACACAATAATTCATAAGAAAGCGAGGCAAGAAACTCAATCATCTTAATCGCATAATGTGGCTGAAAAGTGTTCAACGCCAACAATGACAAATAAGGAAGTTTCGCTGCCGAATCATTGTCGGGTAACAAAAAATGTCAACGCCATGGCAAAGCAGGTGTTGTGCCACCACCAACAAAAATAATAAGCTAGCGCCGGCTAACTGCCTAAGTCTGAGGTTGCATTTTCCGCACCATGCCGAGGGTCTCCGCAATCAAAATTTGGTTCCGCCTTCAACACATGCGCAGACCTCCGCGGAGATCGGGAGTTCGGGGAGTTCAAGATGGATATGCCAAGGATCGATGCATCCAGCGATTGCCTGGGTCGCTTTTTCAGACCGAAGTGTGAGGAGTGCACTCCTCGCACTGCAGCCAAATGTCTGTTAAATCGTTTTAACCTTTTTGTCAAGTTGCCGCTTAACCTTTACGGTTGCTGAGCTGACATGAAGGAAGCATTTGTTTTTTCCTCAGCTTTTCTTGTTGTTTTTGCGTTTTTGGCGCTTTTTGCCGCATTGTATTGTGGCAAAGTGTTGAAATCCGCACAGTGAACAGAGCATAGAAACTAAGCCAACGCCAGGCTGCTGCTTCTGCTGCTGCTGCCCTCTTCTCCGTCAACCACATGTCGTATACGTGTTATTTGAAGATTTGATTTATTTGTTTTGGCTGTTCGTGTTGCTGGATTGCGGCGGCTTATCTGCCCTGTTGCCTTGCACTGACTCTTGTGTGGCCTTCTCCGACGACGGATAAACGGTTTTTATTTTACATTATTTGTAACTCGTGTGCAAGTGAAATAAAGGAAAATTTCACCTTTTACCGCTGCTCATTATGAAACGACTGACTCGCCTGGCCGGCCATTCCTGTAGCGAAAAATTGCATAAAGTCAGCGCATCTTCAATCGAAGACCCCACGATTAGCACAGCGGACTAAGGAAAATCTAAAACTTGATTGCGGCTTTTTGTTTGCGCAGCGCGATTGGGAGTGCCATGCAGGTGCGGATGGATATGCTGGTCATTTGGCTAATGGTGGGAGAGAAATTGTCTGCCGAAGAAAAGGCCGTTGGCATCCTTGGGAATAAATAAGTGAGGAAGATCTTAAAGAGAAACTTCAGTGTTCTGGTATTTCCATTTTATTAATTCCCACTTATTTTTTTTGGATTAAATCTACTTGCCTCAACACCAAATTCCAGTTTCCTGCCTGACTCATTTGTTTTTTGGTGTTAATCTCTGACTTAAGCAAATGTTATGCTAATTTCTCATAATTAATTACCAAAGTGCTACCAACATTCTGCTACACATCTAAATAGATTCTGTCATACTATTTTAGCTAAAGCCATAGCCAAGTTAAAACAAATCCAAATTAAAATGTTAAACATTTTGAATGGCTACGCACAGTTGTTTTCGTCTAAGCTTTTGGAAATAAACTGTGTGAAAAATGTCATTATAAATGCATAAAAGTCTAAGCTGAGCAAATGATTTGCCTCCAGCTGCGATTCCCAGGCAAATGTTTTGAAAGTGCCCGCTTCTCCGCCATTGTGAATTTTGTTTATTTATTTTACAGCAGATTTGGCAAGCATCATTTGTTGGTCTTTGTTGTTCCTAAAAGTCTTGCGAGGCGGGCAATTAAAATAGTATTTTATATTGGCACATCCTAGCGATTAAGATCACTTTTCAGGTCAGCCCAAAATAAACACCATTGTGACTATTTCGCCTTTATTTCACTTCTTTCTTAGACTTTCGTGGCCCATAAATCATTCGAATGATGTGCGTTTTAACATTTTCATAAACTTTCGGGCCTGTACAAATACTCATAATTGGATTACTGAATAAATATTTGGCGTTTTCCATTCAGGTACCTGGATCTCCGCTTTGAATGGCAGATGTTATAAGCGCTGAGAAATGGGTCGGAATCCGAACATGTGTCAGACGGATCAGAGCAAGTTCAAATGAAAAATGTTTGACTTTACTCAAATGAAAGAGGAGCTTAAGACAGTTTTTTAGGTAAACAATTCATCAATCACAATTCGTACGCTGAATTTGTGACACAACACGTACTTTGTGACATTTTGTTTGGCTAACAATTAATCATAAACCATTCAGGTATCCTTCCAATTCGCGCTTTTAAGTTCGGAGTTCGAGGGACAGTCATGAGAAATCAGAAGTGTGAATGTGCGTCAGACTAGACATGTAAATTTTGCAATAACGAGGCTTTTTGTTAAACCTTTTTGAAAAGTCGTAGCCCCAGAGATTCGGCAGATAGGCAGCCAGACTGCGGCTGCGGTTGGGTCTGACGATGCCTTTTGGCCCGATGTAAATGCATTGACCTACGTGGCGCTGATGCACCCAGACATGAGTGTGGTAGCAATTATTGCCACTGATGCTGTCGGGTCCGTTGTTATTCTTGCGGCAACCGCACAGTTTTTGGGACTCAAGTCGCCCGCGGGGGGACGGCTTGCGTTGCATTTCATAGCCGCCAGAGTTCGACGTGCTAATAGATTTTGAGGTCAAATGCAATCGTTTTGGCGGCTGCCGCTGCTGCTGGCCATTTTCCCGCCTTTGATACAATTTTCGGCCGCTTTTTGCTCAAGAATTCTTGTGCATTTCCGTGCAGCGTTTTTGTGCCGGCCACTCATTTGCAATTTGTGTAGCTGTTGGGCGAGAATGAAAAACCGAAATACCGTGGCGGTCGGAGGCATAGCAGAAGTCACTTTGACGCTTCGTGGCAGCCGCCTGTCAACTGCTTCACACTTGGCCCATTGAGGGCGAGTCGGAGCTTCGAGCGCATTCATGTGCCTGCGCTTAAGGGGAACTCAATTGGTTGGGGCCAAGCTAATTGCCGGCGATTTGTAATGCAGCGAAAATCATTTAGCGCCAAATGTGAAGATGATTTCCATTTTTTTGCCGAGCTATTTGCGTTGCGCCCCAGCAATTCTTCATGCAAGAGCTGCCGCAGGGCGGGATCTGCCATTGGCATCCGATGTTGGAACCTGGCCCATTTCGTAGACGTTCGAGTGCAGCCCCGAGTCTTCCAGTGGGCAGTGTTTGATGCTACTTAATTATCGGTTAAACATATTTTGTGTTGTTTGTTCAGCAGCTCCCCGAAAACTGTTTGCCTGCCAGATCATAAAAAGCTGTTGTAATAACGAGAGTACCGCTCACACTATAGTTAACCAGCCATACCATTAAAACCACCAAGGTAATTGCCGAGCTTCGGGTTACAATGCCATAACGAGGAGCTGGGGCCCTTAACCGGAAGCTACATCTACTTAATCCGAATTCGGGGCTCTGAGAATTGAAATCGAAATGTATAATTCAAGTCTTTTATGCATATCAAATATCTTCTACATAGCCAATTAGATATTGTTCTAATTGTTTTTGTGGCTCATTTATTAAATGAAAAAATATTGGTCTTTTAAAAGCTGTGTTCTAGTAGGAAAGGTACTTTTCTGGGCCTTAAAAATAATATTTTAAGCAGTTGAACCAGATTTGGCATTTAAGCAAAAGATTCAAGCAAAAAACTT